AGGGTCTAAACAAAACTGCAACAGGAGAGCCAGTAAAAAATAGAAACCAAGAGATCTATTAAGTTTCCCATGTTGTTTGTTGATTGTTTTGGTAAGGGGCCAGATTGGTGCAATCGGAAGGTCCAATGAAAGTATTACTGTATATACCCACCTACCATAGCAAGGACGTAATCTTGACATCAAATCAATTCTCTTCTCGTGTCTTCTACTTGTACACTGGGACAAGAGTCCAGTTATATTGCCTCTGCATGTAAACGTACTAATAAAGTACACATACTTGTTTTAATCTGCCTGTAACGTAAAAAAAAAAGGTTAAATGTTGTTTTTTTACAGTATTAGTTTCTTCAAGAAGAGGAAAAACACCTGTTCAAAGTGTTTCCTATTCTGTATTTGCATTTGTATATGTGCACAGATGTAAACTGTTCCTACAGAGTGTGCTGTTTCTATTGTAGCTCCTGTTTTGCCCTCCTGTACCTGTAGGCCTACTTCTACCCACATACACAAACACTCACAGGTATGTTAGCGCAGCTGCAGCAGAGTGGTTATTTCAGCTTGCTCAAACAGTTATGTTCACAGTTAATTCAGCATGGCAAAAGACACTGTTCTTTCATAAGATGACTTTTTGTGCTGTTAACATTTAAAGGAAAATACCAATGTTTTATTCTCCACTTGTCCTGCCACAGGACCTCTGCAGTTTCAGGACCTTCATGAAGTGTTAAAAACGCTTCAGCATCCTTGTCCTGTCCTGAGTTGTCTTCTGTCATTTTGAAATCAGCAGTATGCCATGATGGAGGATAACAAATATCTTTTCTTACAACATTAATTCACTGTTGATTAGTGGGAGGGGTGAATTAGTTTTAGATTTTAATGGAAGAAATCAACTTTGAAACCATTCACTGGTTGTTCATTTGACTTCACCCAAGAGCTTACCATTAAAACAATGCAACAGCATGTAGTAGTGTAAATATCAGAGCAGCATGCTGTCAAAGTGAACAAAACTTCACACAGTTGTAGTCCAAGAAGGCCATAAAGTCCAGCTCCTAAAGTACATCAGCTGATTCCAACTCCAGCCTACATCAGCTGACAGCTCAGCCCGTTACCTACTACTTAGTCAAATGTTGAAATGGTCGTTCTTGTTGGACATATTTATCCTGCCTACTTGTCTTGCTTCTTCTAGAATCTACGGGGCCTCTGAAGGGATATGGATTTAAAAAAAAGAATTAAAAAAAGAAATTTCTCAAGATTTTTTGTGTGCCCTCGCAAAACTATTGCAAGATCTAACAAATGTTTTTTCAGCAATTATTGTTCAGTTCAACAAAAATACTGGAGCCGTGGGAAAGGTTCATTGAATTTTATTTTGAACTCATTTTCTGCCCACCTCGTCCCTTTGCATACACATAATGTTCTCGTTTGGGATGTTCCTCGACCAAAGGAATTCTTTTAAATTGTCCTACATGACTCCTGTTTTATAAGAGTGCTTTGTATAATAAGTGCCTACATCGCAGAACTGATTTCATATCTTTTTATCTGAGGCCAATCCCAAAAAAGATACAATGAACCTCTCCTACAGGTGCATGCGTTCCATTGTTTGGGTTGACTCGACACAGAAGAAATACTCTGATCTATAATCTTATGCAAGATCTCGAAATAGTTTTGTGAGAGCACGCATAAGATCTCGAGAAAATCCTTTTTTATTTTTATTCCTTTATGTCCCTTGAGGGGCGCCGTAAGAATCCGCTTTAAATGCCTCTTCTGTTTGGTGCCCGGTGGTCTTTGCTGCTGCTCTCCCTGCCTCAGCTTTAATTGAAACAAAGGGAAGGTCTACTCTTGAGAGCAGCCTCGGAGCCTCAGAGCACTTCCACTTAATAAAACTTGGAAAATAATGAAAAACGACTCTTTTTGACTGCAGTGGCTCTGATTGAACAGTGGTATTTTCCTTCAACAAACCCGCACTGAGACATGACTGAATACACATACATGAGCAGTATATCTGTATTGCTTTCCTAAACGTCATTCAGGTGCAACATGGACAAAATCCTGACATTGCAATACTCATAGCAACTCAAATACGTCGCATTTGATGCTGCCTTCAGCTGCAGTACATTCGGCAGATGTCCATATATTCATGTACAGTTTGACTTCAACAGGCAGTCTTGCAGTAACTCCTCACATTGGCAGTTTCACCCCCTTTAGTTGAGTTTTTCTTTTTCTTTAGATGGGAGGATGAAGCCCCCCTGCTCTCTCCTTCCACCCTCTCACCCTGCCAGAATCAGCTGACACAACACAATGCACCCACACCTGACAGCACACTCATACAGAAGATCCTCCAGACACAGAGAAATAAATCATCTCTTCGCTGAAGCTGAAGCATTGTTTCAAAATTAAATTAGAGAGAAAGACAAAAAGGAAAGTGCACTGGCAGAGAGCAACAATATAAAAAAAAAAAATGCAAACATTCTCCCCTGAAAATAAGTCATAATTTTCTCGTTCAGCCACAACAAAGTTCAAACAGTGCTCTGTCTCTGGGTAAGGATGAAGAAATAAAGAGCCTATTAGAGCACTGGAGTTGCGGCTATGTTCAGGTCACTGCTGGAGAGCGTACAGACATGTGATGAAAAAAGAGTTCACTATCCTACAGGTCAACAGCCAGACGAGGACACAATCACTCTAAGCCCATTCATCCTATTTCCAAACGTTACACAGCTTAGTAGTTTGTGTTTCAACTTGAGTTTTTCTTCTTTTTACATAAATTCAAAGTAAGACTAAATATTAAACAGTACTGTGAATTGAAAATCAAACAAACTGAATACTCCATGAAATTCTCCAGCAAACTTTGAACCAAATCTGTGCGCCTGATTCTCATTTACAAGTACAGCACATGGACTAGATATTGTTCGAACAGGCAGTGAAATGCTCGCTCCACATGTCTTCTCCTCTCTGTCTGTTTTTAAAAGTCTTACTCAAACCCTCCTGCTTTTCCGTGAACAGGATTCACCTTTTCTCACACTTCATTGTCCATAAATAATCCTCTTACACAGCTGAGTCCTGAGCTGAACCTCTATGAAGTGGACATTTTAGTTTGGACAGGAATATTTTATTTACAGACCAAACAATTACAAGGCCAGATCATCGGAAACATGTTTAATATCTGGGTGAGAACAAATACTGGGTCAGTTTTACAATTTAAACCAACACCTGTAGGTCAAACTGAGCCAACCCAAGGCAATTCCATGATCTGTAATACTGGATCTTTTTTTTCCTGACTTGTCTTATCTTAAAAATATAACTTTGAGGTGTTGAGATACTAAAGAGACTAGCTTTCATTGGTATAGATTGGGGATAGAGGCCTTATTAGCAGGTATGATATCACAAGCATGACGTTAATTGACATAAAACCATTTTTGCAAAGTGTCTTTGCAGTGAATTATTCTTGCATTTTTTGTTCAGACCTTCAGGAAAACAGTGCATCCGAATCACTGGAAACCACTAGCACTTCATGTGAAGAGTGCTGAGATCCAGTCCATTTAAAGATAAATATTTACTTTCTTTTCCCGTCTCTCTTCTAACCCATCACTCCACTTTTCTATCAGACTATCACTTCCTCTATGTCCCTTCCTCTCTTCTTCTTCTTCTACAAATTAAATAATTTCCTCAGATCAAACTCCTATTGGCAGCCATCTCTCTCACTTCCACTCTCCTTCTCATACAGTATGACTACAGCGACACCTAGTGGCTATTGTACATACTCTAAAAACCTATCAAAGTGCTTCAAGTATTCATGTTTGTGTTTTCGACAATTTTAATGACCCATATCCTTCAGCAGAAAGAGACGGCGATAGAAAGAGACTCACAAGAGCGAGGCTAGCATGAATTCACAGTCGATGTGTAATTTAGCATTCCTGATGATCGCCTGAATGTGACTCAGGAGGAACCTACAATCCTCTACTGATGCTCTTCTCAGAAACAAGAAAATAAAACACATTTATTGCTCCATTTCTGATTTAACATTTTCTCTCTGATTCTAGAAAATATATATGAATATATCTATACGCCTGGATTACTTCTCCTAACGTCTTCGACAGTGGTAACAAGGTTAATGACGTCACGATATAAACAAGAAAATACACACACGACACACAGGAGAAAAGCCCTGCCCTCATTGGGTAACCAGCTGTCCTGCAGCAGAGCTTTACCCACCCCCCTCGCACAAACACACACCCAATTGCATGTGCACACACTTACTTTTCATAGTCACCCACACGCACACACACACACACACACACACACAGACACACACACGCACACACACACACAGGCTCACAGAGAGAGAGGGGAGGAGGGGGCACCAGCACGGTTCAATGCCAACGGCATTTTTTAAACTCTTTTACATGAAGATAAACCGGAGACGCTCTCTAGCTCGTTAGCTCCCCGTGCTAATACCAAAGCTTCAGTTCAGTGGGCTCAAAGGTTCAATATGTTCAAATCCAGCTGGTCACATGGCACTCTGGCCCCCCCTCTCTCAGTCATCAGTCCCTCCTCTGGCGTTCGACAGTCAGGTTAGTTGGTGAAGAGGATGGGAACGGGTGTAAGTTGGCAAACAGAACCCAGTCTTTCTCTTTTACTTTGCCTTTTTTATCTCATCTGTTCTTCCCGCAAGTCCTTCCGTTCCTGGGTGGAGGTGTAGAGAAGACAAACATGCGTCCAACACACACTAGTTATAGTGGCTGTCTAGGAGCCTGTCAATATTCAGTATTATCTCTTAATTGTCAGCGTTGGTTAACGTTATTAATGTTATTATGATATCATATCTCTTTTACTCTAATGATGTCTTTACACTTCTTATTTTTTGTGTATGTTTTTGTTTTCATTCATCTTCTGTTATATTAGAGCTCTCCCTATATGGTTAAGTTTTTGTGGACTAGGTGGTAGGGTTGCACCACACCAACACCTGACTCCCTATTGGCCGATCAACTTTATCCTCCTCTTGCTTTTCCTCCACATCACAAGATGCGCGGGGCTGAGCGGTCATTGGAGACGGTCTTACGGAGGCGGACTCCTCTCCTGATGGTGGTCAACATGTCACCAGACCCCTCTGCCCCCTCTGTCCCTGTCTGAGAGTCGGCAGAGCCGGTTGGCTGCAGGGCGGGGTCATCAGGGAGGGCAGGAAAAGGAAACTGACCCTCTCCGAGAGCGTGTGCGCTGGCTACCAACTCTCCAATCTTCTCCACCAGGCTGTGCCGATTGGCTGCAATCATCTGTTCCTCCTCTGACCCCGCCCCTGAGCTGGCGCCCAGCACCAGGCCTCCATGCTGCTGGGCGTAGACTTCCAATGCTGCCCCTGAGCCCCAAGCTGTGTTAGGAAGGCTGAGGCGCTTCGGTGACGCCTTCACGTAATCAAGTGCTCCCTGTGCATCGTCCATTCCAGTGAAGAATACACACTCCTCACTTCCCACTCGCACTGGCACACCACCCACATGCCCTCCACCTGCATACCCACCTCCACCTGCACCAGGTGAGTGAGAGTCTCCGGGAACAGTGGGGGTCTTTACAGGCACAATGGGTGGTCGAATGGGGATTGGCCCTGCATTGGACAGCGTGCGTCTCACGCCTGGTTTAGTAGATGGGGTTCTGCGGATGGTGGCAGTACCTGGAGTACCTGCTCCTCCTCCACCAGCTCCACCTGGTTGTCCAGGTATCACATGTCCTCCTGGACCCAGGACCCCGCTGGGCAGCCCAGCTGTGCTGGCAGGCCTCTTGGTCTGTATCATTCGTCTGTAGTTCTGGGCGATGTTGGAGTGGCGAGGGATGGTGGAGGACTTGTCAAAGTCTGTCTGCCCATCAGGACCTTCAGTGTCTCCGTTCACAGAGTAGCAGTCATAATCTGAGCCTAAGTAGGGGAAGAGGAGACGGCAAGTCAAACATCAGGTCATAGTTTTACAGTGAAGTAATAATAATAAAAATAATACCAATAATAACTGTAGTGCCCTTTGTATCCAAGGACCTCAAAGGGCTTTTCAAATGTATTCCTTTTTCCTCCCCTACAGACAAAGACGAATGTACTTTTGACCCCTCTACATATCTATACATGTTCTTAAGGTACATCCAGTAAATGCAGGGTAAAGGTGGCTGGGATCATGCTACAATAGAGGTAATAATGGCTACGGTGGAGGAGGAGGTGGAGTCTTCCCCCGTGGAGTCATCTTAGAGGCAGTTTGAACCTTTTCAAATGAAGAAGAATTTGCATTGTTTTCAAGGTTTACACTGTCTAATGTGCACAGACTTCATCACAGTCAATCTATCAACTTTAGTTATATAGCTTTAATTTAGAAAAGTGTTATCATCAAATGCTGAGGAAAAAATGTGGTTGGTGTTTGTGTTTCTGTAGCTGAGCCAATAATCTCTATTTTCCAAAGATTTTCATGTTTTACCTGGTAAAACCAGTTTTCCTTTAAAAAAACAACAGAGTTAAAGGTAAAGGTTTGGAGTCTGACCTTGTGAGGGGATGGTGTCCTCAGAGCAGGATGGAGTGGTGGTCTCTGTGCTGTACCCGCTCGAGTACTGCAGGGAGTCTCTGTTGCTCTTCTGCTGCTCCATGCTGAGTCCTCTGGTCAGCACCATGGCCAGGTCGCTGGCTGCAGGAGAGACCTCGTCTCCATGCTGATGACACAGAGGAAGGCCTGCATTTAAAGGTGTTTCTGCAGAGTGCTGGCTTCAACAGGATCCAGACTCTGCAGAATACTTTCTGAGCTTTTGTCAGCTCACATTGCCAACATTAACGTCTGCTGAAGTTTGGGCAACAGATTGATGCTCATTTTTTTTGTGAATTGATTCTCGATTCATGTTAAAGTACGTTATAACTTATTTGTCTTGACAGCAACTCCAGCGTTACCTTCGCAGCAATGGTCGCCGGGGTCATCCTGGATCTCTGTGGGTCTTCAGGATGTGCTGATGGCCCGGCGTATCCCTGTGCGCTGGGAGACCCCTCACTCTCCCTTAGTCTGTCCAAAGGTTCCTTCCTCCTCTGAACCGCTGCTGCCGCCACTGCCGCTGCTGCTGCTGGCTGCTCATACTGACCTGCTTTGGACCAATCCTGAGGAGGCGAGGTAAGTTAGTGATCAGAGTGAACAGCACAGAGCTTTAACATGAGAGAGACTAGTCCACTCTCCAGCAGTTTGAAGCCCTTCATCTGAGTGCAGAGAGAGGGGGTCTGAGTGTGTGTGTGGAAGTTTGTGTGCGTGGGTGTGTGTGGGCTGGGGCCTTTTTTGAGAGTATGAATTGTTCATGATGAGTTTGATTGGTTAGCGCTCCACACCGTGCTTCATTTTGACCAATTCCCAGTGAGGAGACTGGAAAAACTGATGAGCAGGACAGGGGAGGCCAGAAAATAAAATGCATGCTCACACTGGGGAAGCAAAGCAACGTGGTTATGGATGAGTTAATCAAATGAGAAGAAAAAGAAACTTGATGCGTTAACTGAAACAGAAAAAAAGCAGCAACTGAGGCCATGGGAGCAGATGGAGAACAAACCTTCCAGATAGGAACCTTTGATGTGGGAGAGGAGGAGCTGGATCCAGGGGAGCAGTTATAGGGTGGGGACGCAGTAACAGGAAGTATGACAGAGAGAGGCCTGGTGGAGCCAGAGTGAGAGAGAGCGGGGCGGAAGGTAGCGAAGGACGAGCCAAACTGCAGGATGAGAGACACAGTCACATCATCAGAGAATGAAAACAACAGAGACTTTAACTGAGACAGAAAGACAGAAAAAGAGACAGAGAGAGAGAGTGTAACCCAGGAGTAAACATAAAGGAATACAAAGGACACATTTACAACTCCAAAAAACGAACACTGAGACACCCTTTGAAATTGTGATAAAAGCAGAATTTGATGGTGCAAAGACAACATCATTTACCATCACTCTGTAAATGTTAGTGAACCCAGGAGACCAGTTTCTGGGACAAGTCAGGAGTGCAGACAGACCAGTTTCTCAGCAGGACTCTTCTACTACAGAGCCATGCTGTTGTAATTCCTGTTGTCAGAATGTGGTTTGTCATTGTCTCGCTGAAATATGAAGGTCTTCTCTGAAAAAGTGTCTGTCTGGATGAAAACATACAAAACTCTAACCACTTTTTAGAAACCTGTTATTTATATGGTGACTTAGAGGTGGGGTAGGCAGTATTCTGTTAAAGAAGCATCTTTTTTTGTGGTGTATATACAAAAAAGCTTTTAATATCAGCCAATAGCTATTGATGACATTTGGTAATATAACAATATCACTGTGTTTTGGTGTTTTGGTCTCCGCCACTCCCAACCTGATTGGTTATGAGGCCGACGCTACTCATTGGTGCTGATTGGTTGTGAGCATAGACTGTATATAAGATGGACACCGTGGTTCCACCTTCTGTCTGTATACTGATTTGAAGCCAAAAAGCTCTCAGTAATTCCTGGTTTTTCTCCACTTCCTTGAAACCAGAGCTGCATCGTAGCAATGAGCGCATTCGGCCGCGCAGTCGTCGAGAGTCCCTGTGATGACGCTCGGGTCAAACAGCGTATTCCCCCGGAAGAGCTACGCAATCCCTGAACGCCCATAGGCTGTACCAGGTGTCAATCATAGAAAACATGAACCCCCTAATAACTTTTAAAAACGGAGCTGTACAGAAAAAAGAGGACTTGAGCACAAAACAGTCTTACAGTAACTACATGTCAACATCACAAGCAGGAGGGAGAAAAAATTATGTTCTGTGTAATAAATTTCTAAAGTTTGTCCACAGTCCCATAAGCTTTGCTGGCAGAGGCGGGATTTATGACCCATACTGCAGCCCATCAACAGAGGGTGCTGTTCTCAGAGTGGCTTCACCCAGCGAGGAGGCAGACTCTGTCCATCTTATATACAGTCTATGGTTGTGAGGCAGATGCAGCCCCCTCGTGTTGTAAGGCTCGCTCCAATAACATGCTCAAGCCTAAACAAAGTTAGCGCGCTACAATATCGGACCGTAGAAACCAACCAGAAAGTATGGAAGACACAAGCAATAAAACCAAGTATAAAACGGAGACCCTGTACCCTTTCAGCTGGACAGGTAAACCGCTTTAACAAAGTAAGCCAAGTGTCTGTAACAGAAGTGTTTCTCGTCAAGCTGGACCTGCTGCGTGTTGTAGCACCCCTGAACTGTTGACCTCGGGTCCTGGACTATGTCACTCTATGCTAGTTGTAGAAGTCCTGCAAACATTGTGTTTTCTGGCCGTCTGTTGGCATCTACAGAAGCACCAATGCTTTTTACTTTCACGTTGACAGGGCCCCATTTGTAATACCTGACGTACTATCTGCATTATATCTGAATTTAATTGGAATGATACGAGCGAGCAGGAGTGTCTGTTTGTGGGTGGGGCTTGCTGGAGCAGAAAGGGAGGGGAGAGGAGGAACTGAGAGGAAAACTGGTTGGGAGGGGTAGAGTTTACATTCAAGATTTCTCCCCAAAACTGGCACTTCCTCAGATCCCGCCTACCCCACCTTTAAATTGAGGTTTCAATTATCTGCAAACCATCACAATCTGTTTTTATCAACTTATAGACAGTGTCCCAGCTTTTTGGATTTGGGGTTGTAAAGATCTTCACACAACTACAACAGAATGAAACAGAAGAGCAGGAACAGGTTTGACTGTAGAGAAAATCTGAAATGACTCTACAAGTACTATGTTTATTTAGTCTAGAGACTAACTGAGTGATACTTTAAAAGCTGCATGTCACCACGACTTTATATTGCATGTTGGTGTTAAGAGGGTCATGTGATGTGTTACAGCAGCCCCATGCATGCATGCATTTACAGTTCTGATACCTTTCATATGACAGCACCACAGCGCAGCCACTATGCAGCCAAAACAAAGACAGCTATGACTTTATCTTAGTAACCTTGTTTTTCTATGTCTCACAGCTTTATCACAGCATTTTTAGCACAGGTTTGGCTCTTTTCTGGTATGTCTCCTTAAAGTTAGGTAGGGAAAACACAGGTGGGAAAGGTGGGAATGTCAATGAGGCCTGGACTTGAAATACCCGACATTTAGCTCTCACTCCCAGGTCTCTTTTTATTTTGGTAAACATTTATCATCAAGCTGTTTTTACACTTCTTAAATCAATCATACCAACCACAGTCATTTCCCTCCTCCAGAAAGAGGCAGCAGTCCATCAGAACCAAACCAAAGACTGAACCATGACTGGACTCCCACAGCTGCTTCACATACATACATCTCTAATCTATCTCTCCTTAACGCTCCTGCTTAGCGCACCAAAATCTTAAGGTTTCATGTGCAGGAGCAGATACAGGTCTGTAAGCTGTTGTATGTATGATAAACATGAAGATTCACTCTGTCTCTGGAGCATTATGAGAATTTATTTTTTCTGCGGACAGATGTGGAGAAGTCAAAGAGTGTAAGTTGAGAGGGAAGAGAGGAGCTGTAAGAAACACCAAGGAAATGACTGTGTGCAGGAAAGGATGAGTCCTACAGGTGAAGTTTGTTGTTGACCTGAGCTAAAACTAAAATTGTAATCTGCCTTAACTGATGGTGATAGCCCTCTGTGCTTTTCCAGTATCAACAAGTCCAAAACACAACATCTAAAAAATCAATTCCTGCATTAGAACAGCTCTTTGAACCGCCTTCTGAAACTTTGCACGACCAAAACATGTTAGCCTCTCCAGAGCTGCCGGCTACGTTCAGCAGCTTTGCAGCTGTCACTGTCTCCTCCTGCTGGTTTGACATCCATTTCTTTTTCAATGAAACTCCTGCTTCAAAGAAAATATGATAAATATAACATATAACAGCCTGTGTCCTTGCTGAATCATTTATCTCCATTGCAGTAAACACAGCTGGTTTCATGTGTGGCTTGAGATGCAGTTTAATTAAAGCTGTAAAGGACAGTTTTTCTGTATAAGCAGACTGACTGCAGTTTAAACTCAATAAATGCAGAGTTTCATATTTACATGCACCCTAATAGATGCTTTAACCATAAGGTCACTCACAAATGACTGCATTACGCCGTTGTGTGTTACATATTGCAGATGAGGCGTAATTTTCCTGCCTTGAAATAGCAGCATGTCAACACGTTTCAGACTCATTTCTTCAACAATTGAAGGGTTGAAGTCAGGTTGTACAGAGGTAGGCATCTGATCACAACTAGTAGTGTTGTAGATTTTTTGTAGTGGTGTAATATAACAGCATAATAGTACTTACAGTGGTTGGGGAGCTGCATTCACTGACTGACTGGCATGTTTCTGAGGCCTCTGAAGACGCTGAGCTGGAGGACTTCTGCAGCAGGTAAACAGAAACAGAATACCTATTTTTTAACACAGCCTGTGCTCTCTGTTTTTGCATGACTTTCATAATCCATAAAATCCCTACAATAAGAAAAACATGCCAGAGAAATGACACATCAGCTTAATGTCTAAAAAAATCATCCCTCTTCTTTTGCATTGAGGGCTCGTCTGTTATTGCCCCACCAGAGGGCCCTCTTGTGCAGGAGATGATAAAAGGCCTTTTTTAATTTATTACAGACACAGCATCACTGAACTTTTCCATTTCTGAACCTGCAAAGTCATGAGTTGGATTAACTGCTGCACATGCGCGTGCATGCTCAATGTGCACACTCCCCGTATGACAAGTGAGTCTTGAAGGGCCAGAGAACCAGACACTTTCTCACTGGTTGATTTGACTAGCCTGAGGGCGGACACTGATCAAGTAATAATCTATGCAAGCAAACAAAGGACAGATAAATCGTACTTCATAATGACCCATGTGGAGTTCCTAATGCTGAGGGATTTGTCTGCTCTGTGTTGAGAGATAAACATCTCCACTGGTGGCAGGTGATTTTTATTGGTCCACTGTGAAAATGATCCTGATGTCTCATTCAAATTGGAATTGAATTGATGGTGTTAGCATATATTTTTTGGTGGTTACTATTACTAGTGATAAGTGACCTCCTTCTGTGTGGTTGTGTTTGGTAGATGTTGCCTCTCACAAGCTCCCCGAGGGGGTTTTTACTCACTGTCTGGCAGCCTCATATGTTAACTCTTATGTCAGGCAGTGCATGAGTTTTGCATGTGTTTTTATGGGGTTCATAGAGGTGGTTTTGCATCCTGAGTGTTTGATGCTGGGAGATCTTGAACCCTCTCCTTTATTGGCGCTGTTGATAAATGATATGATTTTTTGATATGGTTTAGGTCCTCATTATCTGAGTGATTTCAGCCAGTATTAATTATCTGCAGGTTTGTCATCACAGCTGCTTTCACACCCTCTCTCGCTTGCAATTTATTTGAGTTGCAGGTGTAGTTAAAGAGACATTTCAGCATAAATTTAGGTTATTGTCAAACACACCGAAACACTGCGTTAGACAACCCCTCGAGAGATGAATGTTGCCGACTGCTTCCTTCTCTAGTTATACCAACTTGTGGTTACACCAACCACACAATAGCAATACACAGCGGTCTACGTCTTCACGCGCAAACCTCAACCAAAAAGCCACTCTATAGCCACAAATAATGCTAAGAGCAGCACCTAACTTCATCAACAGTACATACAGGGTCCCAGGCATAGTGCTGGCCATCAAACATCTTTTTAGCTTTGCCTGATTAAACAGGTCTGTAAGCTGTTGTATGTATGATAGACATAAAGATTCCCTGTGTTTTGGACTTGTTGATACTGGAAAAGAACAGAGGGCTATCACCATCAGTTAAGGCAGATTAGCAAAGAGGCGATATGCACCTCACCTACTCTCTTCCAGCAGCCGCTTGTTTGTAGGGGAGCCCTGATGAGTCGATCACCAAGTGCAGCTGATCATTTCCATGAAGAAATGATCATAAATGTTCTTTCTTGAGCTGCGAAACTCCGCTGCACTCGGTGATCGACTCGTCAGGGCTCCCCCACAAACAAGCGGCTGCTGGAGGAGACAGGGTGAGCTGTGTTTAGTCTCTCTGCTAAAGAAATCGGGCAAAGCTAAAAAAATGTTTGGTGGCTAGTTCTATGGCTGGGACCCTATATGTACTGTTGATGAAGTTAGGTGCTGTTCTGAGCATTATTTGTGGCTATAGAGTGGCTTTTTGTTTGAGGCTTGTTTGTGGAGACATAGACCGCTGTGTATTGCTATCCTGTGGTCGTTACTAAAGTTTGTAGAACTAGAGAATCAAGCAGTCGGCAACATTCATCTCTTGAGGGGGTGTCTAACTTAGTGATGCGGTGTGTTTGACCCTAACTTTATTTTATGCTGGAATATCCCTTTATATTCATGGGACATCATTTTGTCTTGTGTGAATTTAGCACGTTCCAGAATGGACTTTTTGGCATTTGTGTGTTAGAGTGTGTTCCAGTTGTGTATTTCTGAGTGTGTGTCAGTTTGTTGGAGGCACCCGTACCTGGCTTGTGATGTCTGAGGGCATGGGCGAGGGCGGCTTAGAGTAGATGTTTGCATCCTGGGACACGAAGCCTGAATCGTGGGAGGACACGCTGCTGAGGCGGTGGGCGGCGATGCCCCCTGGTGGCAGAGGCTGGTGTGGCAGGCTGCTGCGGTAGCGAACGGAGGAGGAGGAGGAGGAAGTGGGTGAGTGAGGCTGGGAGCCTCCACCACCAAAACCAACACTACCGCCTCCCCCTGAGGAGCGGGAGGCGCTACTGTGGGCGCTGTTGACGCTGCTGCAGGGGAGGAGGGGGAGGTGCAGAGGAGGAGGGGGGCAGAGTGATGGGGGGTGAGGAGGGTGAAGGTGAAGGTGAAAGTGATATATGATGAGTGGGGACAGTATTTCAGGAGAAAGAGCATGATTTTAGGAGGATTCAGGAGTTTGTCAGGATGAGTTATTGGAAGAGATGAAATGTTAGCGTTGATGGTTTTTATGGTCCAATTGTGATGGAGTGAAGGTTAGGAGCAGGTCACAGGACGTTTTTAGTTGACCCAATGAGAGGAAACCCGTAATGTAATGGGAGAGTTACAGTTCAAAGCGTTTAGAGACCCAGAGATGATCCAGGTCACCAGGAAAACACCGCGCAGCGAGAAAGAGGGCGGACCACACCAATCCACATAGACAAGGCACGACCAGATAATGGAGGAGTGGAGAGGAGACAAGCATGGGGGGGATGTGTGTGGGAGGTGAGGAAAAAAGGTGGAGAGGGGTAAAAAAGTGAGGGAGGAGGGGGGTAGACAAAGAGTGTGTGAGCTCATGAGGAACTGGAGCACGCTCAGTAAAAACTGCAGGCAGGAGGAGATGACGGGCATGCTTCATTCACCCCGAGGGGGGCGCTGCAGCAGGACATGCAGACACTGACAGAGACTAACCCACACAAATACACTAAGACCATGGGGAGGCTGAGGTTACACAGTCCTCGTTTTTTCTCCATCCGTCTTAAATTTTATTTGCACTTCTCTCAGTGTGAGTGTACGTCTGCTTTGCTTTGCCATCACACAGCTCTTTGGTTATGCACTTATCTCAAATCCACTAATGTGTCCCTCTACCTGCAGAGCACTGGTCAGCTGTTTGAGTCTGCAGGCTTTCATGAGTGGGACTTGATGCTAACAGGACTTCAGGACCTTTCTGGATCAGAGGAAAACAGCAACTTACATACAGCTGCAGTCCACAGCTGACCCCACATGCAGAGGTTGACAACCTTGCTACTGCTCTGCTTCTTCTGCTATTTTCTCAACTGACATTTCCTGTTGCTAACAATCTTAGTGAACTACACCTTTACCTCTGTGCATCCTTAAGGTTGTGAAGCTTTATGTTCTGGCAGTAATGCTTTGGTTTTAAATAATATAAAACAGGAATAAGCAAACTGGTCTCCCACTACAAGATGAGACACAATTCACCTGCTCATTCCACCAAGTTTCACACTGCATGTCTGCAACCTAATGAAATCCACACCGCGTAAAACATCATGAAGCAGAAGACAGAAGCTTCAAATCCAGTTTCTACCTTTACTGCTTTTTATTCTGGATTGATTTATACAGACAAACACGTCAGTTCTCTAAGAGTCAGGAAAGCAGAGACATTGATTGTAAAAACTTTTCTTGTATATCTGACCATTTTTAACAGCTTGGTAGTCTTATTATCCCTACTCTTATTTCTCTGTCTGACAGCTGCTGCCCTGGGATGAGTGAACGAACAGTAAAGATGGACAGACTCACAGACAGACGGACAAACTGACAGTCACAGTGAAACATGAAAACCAGGTGGCTCCTCTTTCTGATGCTCACACAGGTCATAACAAGCTGCTGTTTGAATAACTGTGCAAACATATGTGTGTTTAAATGTGTGTGTGTGTGTGTGTGTGTGTGGGGGGGGGGGGGGGGTTACCTGCACATGCTGCTCTTGCGGGAGCCAGAGCTACTGGGAGAAGAAGGAGGTGTCTGATAGGACCAGCTGTAGTCTGAGCCCTTAAGGTCCTTAATCACCTGAGAGAGAGAGAAAGACAAAGAAGACGAGACTCACAGGTTTGTCCTTTCATGTCATTGTCCTTTCTACAATATGCAAACTGAAACTTACAGCCTTTTTGATGACCTACAGGGACCAGTAATCACTACAGACAAAAGGATGTTGGGGCTTCATGATACCTCTTAGAGTTCTACTAGCACTACACTGTTGCTGTAGGGCATCAGATATTTCACTAGGTTTCTTTATTTTGAGGTGTGATCATCCTCTGATAATTCAGCATATAGACAGGGATGCTGTTGCCATAGCTACACAAACTTTTCCTCAACAGTAGTCTGGCTTTAATCATGTAGTCTGTCAACATTAGAGACATCAACTAAATTAAAGAAAACAGACACAAAGCCATCACTAATCTCAACACTACACGGGCTTTGGCAAATTGATTTTACTAGGTGTCTCACCTGTTCACTGTGTGTCTCACCTGTTCACTGAGTGTCTCACCTGTTCACTAGCTGGGGGCAGTTTGTGGGGGTCGGTGGTGAGCACAGTGAGGTCGTCAATGATGGCCTGCAGATGAGTGATCTCTCCCAGCATGGCGATCTCTCCGTTCTGAAAACAAAACAAGGTTAAACACAGACTCCGACTTCTCCACCCCTCAATGATGGCTCCATTTTCATCTGCATCCATCCATCCCTTTCCCTCCTCACCACCACTGGCTGCAGGAAGCCGATGAAGGTGCAGAAGCGACCCCTCTCTTCCACTAGAGCCCTGCGCACTGCCTGTTTCTCAGTCTCCTCCATCAACAGGCACATGTCGGTCACGTCCTGCATTGCGCTGTCCAGCTGAGGCTGCAGATCGCCCCGGCCTGAGGTGAAGAAAACAGTACATCAGAGATCAAAGACAAAAAGGCATGTTTGACAAGAAAGAGGATGGTAAATGAATGGGGGGGGGGTCATCAGGAGGTGAAAATGAAGCTGGAGGTGTAGAAGTCTGAATGGAAGTCTAAATGTTGTTCCATCAGGCTTCCCAAAATGCTCTGCTTCCTGGTATAACATGCATTAACTTTGATATAAAATGGTGGACACGAAGTTAGCCGAAAGATCTTGTTGTTAAGAAGTTCTCTAGATGACTCGGTCCAGTCAGAGTATCATGTTATGTATTTCATTTATAGGTCATTTCAGACGAATAAGACAACCCCTGCACAATATGATCAGAGGTACAACAAAGCATTACTGCTTCTCATGTGACAAAAGTATCATTACAGCCACTATAAACATAAACCAGGGCCTTTATTTATTTATTTAATTTTGCTCTTTGTCTTTGTTTCGTCGTAGACTTCTGCTGAATGCTTTATCAACTCTGAGGCCCCATATGTATGCATACAACTTAATTTTTATCCATCGATATTTAGTCTGGCCTGTCATTTGGCAGAAATTTGTGTTTTTAGGTCTAACATTTAAATGTCGGCTTTAGGCAGATAATGGTTTTGGTTTTTAATCATACTGACCTTGCAAAATCAAACATTAAACACTGATAAAGTAAAATATCTTTGCAGGCCAGGCTTTAAATGTGTAGTTTTCACTCTTTTCCAGCAGATGGTACCATTTACCCATTTTGTCTCAAAAAACCCACAGTTCTCCTAATGACCACTGGGGGCGCTATCCAGCCTGTGGAAGGCCAATGTGACTTCGCAACTCAAATGAAGGTATTGATTTCTGAAAATACGAATATATCTTTTAATTTGTAATTTCTTTTTGACATTTTTCTAATGTATGGTCAGTAAGACTGGTTTTGACAGAGAAATACTGGTTCAAAAATGATGATTTAGCCTGAACTTCATAGAAACTAAAGACAGCGCCGAGCTTAAAACTCACTTCAATGTTGACTGTATCTGGTTAACAAAAGGCAAAATGCAGATGTGGAGAAGATTCTAGAGAACCTGAAAACTGTCTTTTGTTAAGAGGAAATGAAAACATGGAATGTAATCAATGAAGGAATAATATATGACATAACTATTTATGTTGTTACAGCATGCAGTAAAGTCAGCAGAGATTACTACTGCATGCATAGAATGACACTACACCTGTTTGATCATCTACACCTAGTAACAACTCAACCTCCGCATTTGTTTATAGACACAGCTGTTTCTACAGAGCCAAAAGTTATGAACAAAGCTTTGAGCTGAGTGACATGTTGGACCAAGTGAGCTGGTTCTTCTCTACATCCATGCTGGTGTTATAATCTACAAGAGGAGTCTGAAAATGACAGACAGATAAATGAGGTGATGCTGCAGAGTCGTACAGCAACAGGCCGATACTCACCCTGTATCTCTATAACAGCGCAGGGGAGACACAGAGACAGCAGCAGAGAGAGAGGGGGGAGACAGCAACAAGGAGCAAAACAAGAAAAGAGGGGGGAGAGAGCAGAAATAGCAGAACTCATTGTTAAGGTTAGTACAAAGAAGCCATCACAAGACAGCCACAGTGGCACAGGTTAGAGCAAAATAACACGACTGCAACAAAATTAAAAAAAAAGAAATGATAGAACCATCAGCGGACGTCTGCACTGTATACACAAGAGTTTCAGGGCAGGGACAAGGAAGACATGATACTGAGAGGAGGACGATTTACTTGTCATAATGCAGCTCTTGAAAAAAGCCAAAATGTCAGGAAAAAAGCCAACAAACAAATAAGATTTGAAATAAAGGATTAAAGTTTGATTTCAAGAATGAAATTTACAGCTGTGGCAACGTCGCCCTTCTGCCGAACTTCCCTTGCTATCTCACTCTTTGTCGGTTTACTTGGAAATAAGAAGTCACAATAAAAATACATGATTTGCATGTAAAATGCAACACTGTTGAGGTTTAAAGACACCAGCACCTGTATGTAATGTTTCAGTGTCTGGATTATTTTCATTATAACTCTTTCACATCTGTTCACAGATTAACAAATAACTCATTTTGAAGCTCTGACTTTGTGGACTTCATTTGGACATTTTTACTCAAACTGCATTATGGAAACAACACACTTTTCCTCATCCCAGGATACTGCTGGCAGACTCCATGAAACAGTGACTGCACCAGATTTAAATGTTGATCATTTTTTGGGAGAATAATTTAACCCAAAGACAGTATCATTGCTTGTTTATCCTTTGCATAAAAAATAAAAACACCATCTAGTCACGATTGTAACGCCAGCGCTGTGACAGAAGATACTCTAAAAAAAACTCTGTGTACATACGAGATATGATCAGAGAGAATCATTAGATTTAAAGCATGATTTCAACTCTAACCTCTACTTCTAAATTGAACCAAACTTGCATATTTTTATCTGCCTGGTTACTGAAAAGAAAAGAGTTTACGTATAGTTCGTTTCATCGCTGAGTGAGGGACAAATGAAAAAATGACCTGCAATGTTGATCATCACCACTAGATGGCACTAAAAGCTTTTCTGTATGAAGTGAGTGTGCATGTGTCATAAAAGTGTACCTGCTGTGTTTATGAGTCTGTTTGGAGTTGTTTTAATCATCAGGTACGATCAGTAATCAGCATTTGATCCTGTGTGGACTGACCGGATACTATTGGTATTTACTATTCATGAGCTACTCTGAAAAACAGCAGCCAGTTAGCATGGGGTATAAACTGGCTTATCCAAAGCTTTTCCACAGCAGCTCCTGATTAAAGTAGCACTGATGTTGTCTGAGTGTCCTTGAATGTCGCTCTTTGACCTCTGAACATGCGGTCTGCGGGTCTCTCACCTTTGCGGGCCTTCTTCTGCAGCTTCATGGTGTCAGATGACTTCTTCTTGATCTCATGGCGTGACCTCTTGTACTCTGGACACGGGGCGAACAGAGATGCTTCAGTTACAGGAATGTAAAGCCTGGTGTGTGACCTCATTCATCTCACATTCCTCATGCTAAATTCAGCAGAAACACTCCCACAGCTCGATGATCCAACTCTTTAGCAGTTCGATCATGGAACAGGACAGGATGTGAAAACCATCTCACCTTCATCATCTTTACAGAGCAGATTTCTCCTGTGTGTGTTGGTGTGTTTAAGTCAGAACCGTTAGTCAGTAAGTTTAAGCTATATGTATGTGTTTCAGTGTCTTCAAAGCTCCAGATCACTCTGTTTGATAGGATGAACTTGCACATGCACTAAAAGGTTAGATAAAGGTTAGGTAAAAACAACCTTATAAAGCAGTTTATTCTGATTCCTACTCTTTCAGCAGGAATGATATGAAGCTGGAGTTCAATACCCCAGCTCTAACCTGAATCAGGATCATGACCTGAGGTGTGTTTGTACCTTTGGCATGATCTTTGTCCAGCTGGTTGGCTGTTTTCTTCCAGTCCTCTATTTTGTCCTGAAGAGGAGTGATCAGACTCTCCATCAGAGCGCTGTGAGAACGACAGAGAAACAAGAGTTTAACATGATGTGTAAAATAACAAAAACTGCTGTATTTCACAACCAGGACATTTTTTCTACTCTTCTACCCCAGTTTTCTACTTCTGATGACTTTTAAAGATTTTGAGACTGCAAACTTGAGAAGTGAATTTGATGCATGAGTGCTTAAAACTGCAGATCCCTGAGTGTCCACTAGAGGCTGTCTCTGGAAAAGCCCATTTTTAGTGCAAAAATTTGCAGCCTGGTATAGAAACATGTTTTCGTCTGAATCACTCATTTCTCTGCTCACACTATGTTGAGTGATTTTTTTTAGAAGATATCAAGGTTACAGTTAGTTTTGTGAATCAAAAGCAAGGCTAACTCAAATGACAGACGAGAACAATGTTAGGGCTCTATTTTCATGTCCGCCGGGGACGTGGCAGAGGGTGGCGGACCCCGCGCAGTGGTATTTTCGTCTGGCAGAGCCCGGCGTACAGCCAGTTTGGTATTTTCGTAGCCTGAGGCGCACCGAGGTGCGCCAAGCTGGGCTTGGTGGTGTGGCAAGGGGAGGTGTCGACAGAATCAGCTGGTGCAGTGACATTTTCGTGCTTGCCAGTGGCGTATAAAGTGCGCTGAAAGCTCGCTGATTCAAACAAGGTCAGCTTTCAGCGCAGGCGGAGCGCAGCTGGTCTAGTGGTATTTTGGTAGACCGACGGCGTCACCGATGCCTCACTGGCAGGTTTCCACAGTGTCAGGCACATTTCAGTGCAATAAATAATCATCAACAACTATTAATCTGAGTCAGTACAAACATTTAGATCTATAGATATATTCTGATCTATATCTGATCTGATGAGCGCGTTTGGCACGCGTTTGGACATACAACCTGACCGAATCAACACAGCTGAAACCGCATTAAATTAAATATTTAGTAAATAGACAAACACGATGAAGTGAACAAGATATGTAATTCGTCTTCCTCCTTTTCTTTCTTCCTCTTCCTCTTATTTCTCGCGCAGCTCGACCTGGACATGTCTCTGTGTACTCTCTCCATCCTGCTGCAGCGGCTGAACAGATGATATGTTTCAGTGATCAGATGAGTTATTTACTTTAAGCCTACATACGAATATTATAATTTTCAGTTTTGTGAGCCAAATTTATTTTATATGCCAACATCAATGTAAGAAAGAGCCAGGCCACGGAGCGTGATGCGTCATTTACGCACAGATGGTTCCGATTTTAATGCCATTTTTGGAATTTATGTTTTGATCTGTGCGCACAACCCACGTGAGGTTTGAATATATGCAATTTTATGTGAGTGTCTTTATTTGTAGAAAAGGATGTTCGTCTTACCATTGGGTCCAACCTTACACACGCCAAATCCCTCTATGCTTATTTGAGAGAGTGTGGAGGACGCCCTCTGAAGCGCGTACAGTGATACTTGTTGAGGGGCTGCCTTCTGTCGCCATCGGGTGACATTGCTGTCTTCAGACATCTCTTGATCTTTTTGACTACTGCACGAAAATTGTAATACGCCTCGCCAGTGGCGGTGGCGGATTTAAAGGCGAGGAGAGAAGCTGATGTTATTGGTCAATACAGGTATCGGCTGTGTTAAACCCACTCCACACCCTGTCTCCTCCCTCGCTACGACTTATGCCGCTGGGAGTAGCTGAGTAAGGGAGGGGGGATACTTACGCCAAGCTGTACCGCTCACCAAAATAGCAAATTGTCGTTGGGAACGCTGTGTCGGTGTGGCAGACCTGACTTACGCCACGCCTGCGCCACGTCTCCGGCGAAGGACGAAAATAGAGCCCTTAGTGTTTAACAGGAATTAAGTTACGGTCAAACACACTGTAACACCAAGTTAGACACCCCCTCAAGAGATGAATGTTGCCGACCGCTTCCTTCTCTAGTTATACCAACTTCAGCAACGACGGCACAATAGCAATAGTTGATCACCGAGTGCAGCAGAGTTTTGCAGCTCAAGGAAGAAAATTTATGATTATTACTTCATGAAAATGCAATCAGACCGAGATGCTAAGGCAGAAGAACTACCGCGTCTGCAATGCAAAATCATTATAATGATGATTATCAGTTTAAGGAAATTATCCGCTGCACTCGGTAATCGACTTGTCAGGGCTCCCCCCACAAACAAGCGGCTGCTGGAGGAGAGTGGGGGAGTTGTGTTTAACCTTTTGGTTAAAGAAATCAGACAAAGCTACAGACGTTTGATGGCTTGTACTATGGCTGGGACCCTATATGTACTGTTGATGAATATTCCTTTAAGGCCTTAGGTTGACTGGAAGTTGGGCTGAGTCAGTATTTCCAATATGGCAACTGCTGCTAAAAGGCTTCAAAGCTCTGTTGCAGGAACAACACACCAACACTGTGTCCATTTATTTTACAGTCTATAATGGAGACTCATTCAAGTCAAGTCCAGGCATGTCAGTACAAACAGGTGGCAGAATACCGCTCCACAGTGCACACATTTGGTGCAGGCGCACTCAGGATTGGGCCCAGCTGATTGGGCCGTGATTACCTTGCTTGGCATAACAATAACCCACAGTTGTGCATCATTTAGCCGACTTCCAGTGGTGCTGCGCATCTCAAAAGTCCAGACTGACTCATAAAATGTATGTCTGGCTTGATCAGTATTGTTTTTAATACAGACATCATTCCATTAGAAAAATAAATAAATTAAATCATCTGGTCCATTATTGGAATTTTGAAATAATCCGCATCATGTGGGTATCAGCCTTCACAAAGTCATGTCAACATCATCTTCTCTGTATGACCACACATTTTTCCCTGAAAACAGCAGATAGATCAGAAGAATATAAAGACATGAGTACATGAGCAGCTATAGTAGAGTTCTAGAGTGAGCTCATCGTATAAATTCCCTTCACGTGTTGCTCTGCTTCATAATTATAGTATATGGATCGCTCCTCTTTCCACACATACTGGGTACTAATGCACAGACAGCATACAGGACATGCGGGGAGATATGGGAACATATGCACAGATACAAACCACCATCATCATAGTGATGGTGTTCGCAGTGGAAAAGTCATTATAGAGTATGGAGATTGTAGGAAAGTCAAACATGGTTAGCACCAGACCCAAGGTGAGGTTTCTTCTGTGGTCTGTGTTGCGTGCTGATGGTTGTATTCATTTACAATCGTTTAAACATGTACAGACACAGAAATGTCTCAAATGGTATCAATACAGCGCAGAGAAAAACCTCAGCAAATATTTGCCCCATTATAACCCTGAAATAGGGTCAGCATGAGAGGAAAGTCACATGAGCAGATGTGAAAACTCGTTTTTACTGTGTATATGTGGAGTTTACAGGGGCCAGTATCTGTTTCTTTGAGTTCTTGTTCTGTCTTCCTTTTCATTCAAATTCAAATTGAATGTCTTCACTTTCCACTTCTTCAATTCTCCATACAGGCTCATTATCTAAGATCTAAATTGAGGGGATTTATCGGTTGCTGTTTTCACTGTGCATCAGAGGCTGTTACCCTCACAACCTAAAAAAAAAAAAAACATCAGTCATTGAATGGACAAAACGCATAAAAAAATAATTGTTTTTTCCTTCCTGAAGAGAGGCTCTTCTTATTTTCATAAAGTGCTTTTATTATGAAATTGTGTCCAGGACAACTGTTTGGCAATAGTAACTTGTGCAGCTGTTTATTTGAGCTCAAGGTAAACTTTTGAAGTGAAAAAGTCACGTTCCCATTGGCTGCAGGGAAGCAATGAGATTAGTTAAATTTTTATGTAACGTGTAACACCCCTGCTTTCTCAGTCTTTAGGGGAGCAGTGTGCATGCTTTTGCAGCCTCTGCTATAGATGAGGATTTGACTAATACAGCAAAAAGATGTGTCAGGTCATCAATAATCATAAAAATGGAGGTAAAGACAGATGGAAGCAGTAAGGGAAAAGAAGAAAGTCGTGTATCTTACTTTGTGAACTGTCGAAGTTTAGCTTCAATGCTGCGATGCCTCATGCACATCCTAGTCAGAGCTGAACCGATGTCTCGAGTTGCCCCTGGAAACACAGAAACAGCCAGGTTAATTTCATGAAACCTACACACATACGCTCACAAACAGGTGCTTACTGAAAAGCTCTTTTTCATTCCCTGAAAACCACACAAAGCTGCACCCAGTATTTATATAACAGCTGTTAGTTTGCAGAGTGAAGTGTCGTATTCTTTAAACAGATGAACAATCACCCAGCTTTGATTTCCTCTTACATTCAGCCAGTATTTACACAAGACTCTGATCTTCCTCTCACAGTCTACACACTCCAGCTTTGTCCAAATAAAGAAGTGTCTCGTGAGTGTGTGTTTGAGCGAAAGTAAGCCGCTCAGGGACTCAGATTTGTGAGCGGCTAACCTGCAACTGTAAACAGTCTATTTTAAGAGGAAGTAGGTCCCTGTGGAAAACGCTGACCCCGGAGCTGAAGTCAGTCTAAATGATGGCAGACACGGCTAACTTCCAAACAAGGCTCTTAAAGCTGCTGCAGCACAGGTGGACGAGCCAACAACAGAAACATGATCACAGCTCTCTCTAATGCTGTGTACTTACAGACTGTGCAGCAGACATACGGCTTATATTGTATACAGTGCCCAGAGAATAGCATAATCACTGCTGCCACAGAAATGTACACACTGGAAAACTCAGATTAAACAGCAGCCGAATGGGATTTCCTGCGCAGACAGTGTTTATCACGAGGCATTAGATGGGCTTTTCAGTAAAATGCAGGGAGCAGAGGAAGTGCAACACATCCATATTTTCTAAACTGAGAAACCTCTAATGTTTGGAAAAACATTAAAACCTTTCCAGGAGGAGTGTGACTCTACCTTTTCAGCAACACCCTAAATATGCTGTAAACACAGTGCTGATTAAAAGATCTCCATGTTTGTCAGCAGCTCAGTGTTGCATAATGCACAAGATAGATGTATACAAATGTACTGGATAAAAACAATTTGGCACTTTTTAAATAAACCCAAAGATAAGTGGCCACTTCAGTCCACCAATCAGCAAAAACTCAGTTTTCCCAACATCCTTTTGGTAAGTATGTTGCTTTAACATCTGTAACTAGAGACACCTGAAAATGAGCAGTGATTGGATTTTGTGCAAACTGCTGCTGGATTTATGTGTACTGCAGAAGTCAAGTCTAACAGGACTACATGCATGGATGACTTTTCTGCAGGACAATGACCTGATTCAAGTGAACTGTCTGCTGAGCATAAAAGGGCTGCATGACTTTGGTACCCTGAAGGTCCAGGTCCAGAGACTCTTAGGTTGTATGCCTCTTTATGAATATTATCAGATCTGACACCCAGGCTGGAGGACAGATTATTGATGTAGCTAGAACCGAGGGCAGAGGGGAAAGTGGAAATTATGTCAGATTTGGAGTCATTCAGCTGTAGCAAAACACTGGACATCTAAGGCTTGATCTTTGTCAGACAGGGCATAATGTGAGACACACACGTGGTGCCAGGTTTTTAGGGTACATAGAGTTTAAGACGTTTGCATAGCAGTGAAAGTCTGCACTGTGCCTACAGGATTGGCCCCATGGGAGGCATGGGCACAGTGAATATGAAGGGACCCAAGATAGACCCCTGGGGGACACCACATGAGAGAAGCACAGAAAAAGGGGCAGTCATGAGGGAGAACACCCGTCTGACTGATAGAGGATAGAGAAATTAAGTCACTGCAGTCTTTGGAAAAACACAGTCAGATACTGTATTTTCATACCAAAGTCCAAATGTAAACGTTTAACAGCACAACAGACATGCTGGAGACTGTGTGGAAAACTTAATGTTTATTACTAAAGGAGAGATTTTGTCAGACAGGCATGTGGAAGAACTTCCACATGCCTGTCTGACAAAATCTCTCCTGGTGGAAGAGATTTTGTAAAGGTGGAATGACAAAGCCCGAGGTGGGGAGAGCACACCTCCCCTCTCCATTATGTGCAAACATGAAAGTCTAGGCAGACAGAGCAGCAGCAAAGGCCTCTTGGTACAGAACAAAGGCACCGGTGACAATCCATGAGACACAACTAAAATCATGCACAGCATGAAAAGGAAGAGCTGGGGTGGAGGCAGGGAGAGCAGCTGGTCAATACAGACACAGCATTGCACAGATAATGCACCAGACCTCAGACTGGTTGGATATAACGAGTGTGATCAGGTTGTCTTTGCTGTTGCTCAGACTATTAAAAATAATTATAAAAAAAAATAAAAACATTCTCCAGGGGTTCAGACCAATCATAATCTAGTATTTAACATGGCCAGGTTATCCGCAAGTGGCTGAAAGTTTATAAGCAGTGTGATGAACATATATGTATGTATAGTTGTGTATGTATATGTGTATAATAAAATATCACGATAGGAACTGTTGATTAAAGGGGTAGGATTAAGTAAGTGTAAACTTCTTCCTACTCCTTTTGGAACATGTAGATCGAAAACACATGTAGGTTGTTGCCAGCAATCTTTGATTTTTTATTTATGGTATGCATGTGTTTGGTTACCACCTATATTCTGTTTTGTTTATTTATTGCATGTTCGAAATAGAGCATTCATTCATTCATTTAGTCATGAATTGACTCTCATACCAACCTATGTCAAATTTGTTGAGATTAAACTAATCTATATGAAAATAACTGTTCAAATGCTGAGAGCCTCACTCATCTCACATCACCCTGCAGATTCAAACCAGCAACCCTCTGACTGGATCAATCACAGGGCACATTCCCACACATACATCACCCAATACCAATACATTCTCTGTTTAACCATACACACACACACACACACACACACACACACACACACACACACACACACACACACACACACACACACACACACACACACAGATACACTCAGTGTGTCGCTCACATCCAGAGAGAAGTGCTCCATTCATAATTAACAAATTCCTCCCTCACGCCTTCTGTTCTACCCGGCAACCATTCATTAAGGCAGAGACACCCTCCCCCAACACACACACACCACACACACACACACACACACACACACACACACACACACACACACACACTCTAAGTATACACCATGCATGCTGATCAGAGGTGCATCTGAAGCTGTATCTGAGCTATGTGTTTAGAGTCTGATCTGATAGATTATTAGTACTATGCGAGGGACAAAAAGACACAATACTGATAAAGACAGAGAAAGAGAGAGTGAGAGAGAGAGGGACAGGGAGAAAAGGAGATATGTTTCTATCAGAAGAGGATAGGAAAAGGAAGACCAGAGAAAAGGTGAAGGAGAGAGGAGAGAGCATGCAGACGAGAGCAGTCGCTTCACACATTTTAATGAGCCCACTGCTGGCCAGAGAACCATGGGACCAGGGTCAGAGCCAAGAGAGAGAGAGCGCGAGAGAGGGAGAGAGAGAGAGAGAGAGTGTTTGATCTCTACATTTATGATGGTCCTCTTCCTGTTTGTTTCTTATTGCCCTGCCTCTCAGACTCTGTAGAAGATTAACAAGATGAAGAAGATGAACACACACAAACACGCACGCACACATACACACACACACACACACACACACACACACACACACATCTGGAACACAGCTACTGTGTGTGTGTGTGTGTGTGTGTGTGTGTGTGTGTGTGTGTGTGTGTGTGTGTGTGTGTGTGTGTGTGTGAAAGTCAGAGTTTATTTGCTTCTTGAACAAACCAACATGTCTCAGCTCTTTATTTGAACTAAGAGGCCCAGCTCTGGGTCAGACCGGCTATGTCTCAAAAACATTCCCATCAGAAGTTGCTGAATGTAAAAGAGCAGAAGAAGCAGTAGTAATAATTTAGAGGAAGTAGAAAAGATATTTTAGTAATTAGATCTTAATGCATGAAAGAGAGCTGTGACACCATTAGCTGTTTCCTCATCTTGAATCTAACCTCTCTTTATGAAACAGCTTAAATCTCTGAACTAATTCATTGATTATTTACACTGATAAAATGTTTCCTATCCCAAAAAAATGAACATGTCCAGTTTTCTGTGCTGGTTGTATTGTACTAAATCTAATTAATAATGATATAGACATCACGTTGAGAGGGTCAGAGAAGGGACTTGATTGTTTCATCTTTTTAAATTGTACCAGTACAGCATTACAAACCCAGCTCATCATCTACTGTTCTGTATGTTTTTATCTGACTGTTCATCTGCCAGGAAGGAGAGGCTCTTATGAGGAATACAGTTTTACTCCTTTCCTCTCTCTCTCTCCTGCACTTGATCCACTTCCTGACTGAAAACCTTGAAAATGTCTTTTTTGTATAGTGCATGTGCCCATGGTAGTGTTTGTTTTAGTGTGCATACAGTCTCCTAAGTATAAATACACTGAATGTTTTTGTTTTTTGTGCTCAAGATATTTCATGTTCAAACTGATGAACATGACTTTGTTTGTTCTTTTTTTTGTAATAGAAATATTCACTCAGTTTGAATTTGATGCTGCATCACGTTTCTAAATAGTTGGTCCAGGGTCAACAAAAGACTGAAAACTGAGGACTGTTCCAAAACCACCTGTTTGGATCATTGGAAACAGGTGAACAGGGTCATGATTGGGTATAAAAGGAGCATCACTTAAAAACTCAGTCCTTCACAAACAAGGATGGAGCAAGGTTCACCACTTTTTCATCAACTGTGGGAGCAATAGTTTAAGAACAATGTTTCTCAACATAGAACTTCAGGAATTCTGTGATTTGATCATCTATAGTCTATAAAATCATCAGAGAATCACATAAATCTGCACGTAAGCAACAAGGCCCAAAAAAAACACTGTGATCATGACCTTTGACCCCTCAGGCAGCATTGTATTAAAAACCCACATCATTCTGTAATGGCTTTTAACATGTGGGCTCAGGAGGACTTCAGAAAAAGTTCAAACTCTACCCTACCAGGACAAAGACAGATATCAACAGCAGCCAGAAACATCACCAGCTGCAGAGTCAAGTTCTCATGAGACACATGTAGGAGTAATGATAACATTTTATCTCACCATTCAGAAGCTTGCTATTGCAGCTACAACACTTCAACAGTTCCCTCCTCTCGGTCAGGGTCAGATTTTGGATCATGTGCAGTGCATCTGTGTAGGTTCTCCTGGAGGGCTTGCCCAAATTATATTTATTGTGGTGTTTTTCCGCTTCTGCATTCTTTGCACTGCTCTGCCCTTTTCAACAACATCCAGGAAGCCAAAAAGAGGAGCCTGTCATTAACATGGCACCCCAAACACACAGTGCAGTGTAGACACAGAGTTGGTTTCAAACCTGCTATTTTTGTCCAGTATCTTCTAATAAGATTTGATATGGCTCAGCACAGTATATCTTAAGATAAATATATATTAATAGGACACGCTGTGGGCATTAACAAGCATGATTTTATGAGACCCTTTATTGTTTCTGTGCCATGAATGACTTCATCACTATTTGTTGAGCATAAATTTGTGTGTGAGATAATTCCATCAATACTGTGGTCATGATGAATGTCTCTGCATAGATAAAGCCAGAGAGGCAGACACATAGTGGGAGAGGATGATAAGACGATGAACAGATAATTCACAGACAGACAAACAATGTTGGCCACACTATTATGGAAGATGATTTATGTCTGAGGGTGGAGATGTAATTTAGATCTATAGAAAAGAGAGAGACAAAGGATGTTTTTGTTGAAGTGGTGATACCCAAACTCTACTTCTTAAAAAGACAATGAATATAAAGAGAATATATTAAACCATGACAGAAAAATCCTTCACAAGCCAGTGTGTTGTCTACCTCTAGAGCTTGACCAGTAAATGCAGCATGGTAATGAGTATTTTCTATGTTCTCCCTGATTCTGGATCACCATCTCACCATTCTGGTTCAGGTCAGTACCAGATTTCAGACCTCTCAGATTTTGTCAGTCCACCTCCTTACTGGTTGAATAGCTTTTCTTCCTCGTCACTTAGCAACTGACTAAACTGACAGGTTTGTTACGGTTTCCATGACAGCACAGATCTCAGCCTGTTGCTAAGAGAGAATTAGGATGTTTGTTGCTAAGGTCAAATTGTCTGCTGCTACGGAAACCAGTGTCTGAGCTTCACTGGGAGAGAGTGAGAGAGAGAGAGAGATTGAAGAGAGAGGGAATACACCATACACACACACACACACACACACACACACACACACACACACACACACATACACACGCAGTACATTTAGGTACACCCTCAGCAGTTTTAGAGTTTAGAAATTTATGAATGATAATAACGTTAATTATCCCCAAAGAGAAATTCAATAGCATAAATTTGGACTGCGTCACCTGACTCTTCGTTTTCAGGACTCGTAACTTGACTTTGGTGTTAATGACTCAGAAATGTGACATTTTGTGACTCTTAATACATCAGGCATATCAGAAAAAACACCTTTGCCCATTTACTTCTCAAATATATGTTCAAGAAGAATAGCATGAAGTTATAAAAACACTTTTTGTTAATAATGCTTAATGGGCAGGACGGCTGATTAAGGTTACTGAATTTTGAGAATAAGTACATTTGTTTTGTCAGCCCAACAATAGCTATGTTTATATGTGCACAAATAATCAGAATAAAGACCTAATCAGATAAAAATCTGATTGGAAAATTCAGATCAAATCAGTCTCAATCAGAGAGAAATTGTATTCTGAACAATGGGGTGGTTTATGCTGATCGTTATCCTGAAATGTGTCCATGTAAACACTTATTCCAGACGTGACTCTCTGTAAGGGCAAAACTAATCTGACTGCGCAGGAGTGCCCTATGTCAATGTGACAGATTTCTGCCGTTAGTGATAAGATGTAAACATGGTGGGATCCAAGAGTGATTGGTCTGTGTCTGACTCCTCCTTCTTGCTGTATACAGTCTCCTCACATAACACAGGATCAGTATGTGCAGGATCATGTTTGCTTAGAGCATAGAACTGCTCTCAGAACCTGGCTCAAGTCCATTCTGAGTGGAGGCTGTAAAGCATTGGAGTGCGCAACTGTCTTCACATGGATGAGGAAGAAACTTGACTTGTTCTTCACTCTTTAGCCTTTGGTTTATTTATTGAAGTCAGTCCAGGAGGTTTCATTGTTAACTCTCTGGCATAAAACACAACCGCAGGTGCTGTGTCTGCTCCTCCAGTAACATAACAAGGCATATACACAACGTGATGATGTCACATCTGCACGCACAGTGCAACCTTTGACAGGACAGTAAAAAATGTAGGCAAGGGCGCCATCTAGAGACAACATTTAACAGGGGGAAAACTCCTGAACTGGATGAAGTGAGCCACTACCGCGTTTGTTGGTTTGTTGACAGAACAGGCGTAAATACGACTTTTCTTCTGTGGTTGTTCTAGGGAACTCTGCGCATGTCCAAACGCTTCTAATCTGAATAAAGATTGGTGTAAATACGCACGTCATGATCAGATTATTTGATTTTGTGCCCATATTAAGAGTGGATTCAGATTTTCGGATTCTGCAAATTTTTCATCGGATCAAGAAATTTTGCACATGCAAAGATGGCTACTGATGTGGTACAACAGTGAATCAACTGAACACATTACTTAGAAAAAGCTTATAGAAGAAAACTGACATGATGAGCGGTTTCATATGCAGGGGTTAAATCCAGCGTAAAGGATTAAACACTTTTTTTTTGTCTTATTATTGTTGACCTTCCCTTAGATTTAGGAATTAATGCATTTGACACAAGCAGTAACAGGAGAACCTAAAAATGTTCCCTGCAGAGAAAGGTCAAATATTTGGGGGAAATAAAACAACCAACACTCCACAAACTTAAGTCTGCTTTTCACACCATCAACCACACCATTGTCTCTCATCCAGAATCATTATTCGACATCACTGGAACACTCTCTGCTGGTCCAGGTCAAACCTCTCAAACAAACAACAGTCCATCAATATCAGTAACTGCTCCTCTGTCACAAGGTGTCCCTCAGGGCTCAGTCCTCTCCGATTCTTTCTCTCCCTTAAGTAAAATCATCAAACCTCTGCCCCGCAATTGGCAACATCACTTTATCTTCAACAACCTGCATCGGCAACATCACCATTAATCAGGACAGCAGCATGTCATGTTATTCATATCATCAGATTTGCCTCAGTCCACCTCACAAACATAACCCATCTTTTCTGATGGGTTTGTGGGTTTGTATTTTTACACTTTTTTCATGATCTTTAAAATAGGGGGCTCTATTTTTGTGCTTCGCCTGTGTCGTGGCGCAGGTGCGGTGTAAGTCAGGTGGAGGTGGACCGGCTGGTGACCTGGTGCTGCAACAACAACCTAGAGCTCAACGCCCAGAAGACAGTGGAGATGATCGTGGACTTCAGGAAAGCCACAGCCCCCCTGCCCTCCCTCAACCTCACTGACTCCCCCATCACCAATGTGGACTGCTACCGCCTCCTCAGCACCACCATTACCCAGGACCTCATGTGGGAGCCAACCATCAGCTCCTTCATCAAAAAGGCCCAGCAGAGGATGTGCTTCCTACGGCGGCTGAGGAAAGCCAAGCTGCCGGTCCAGCTGATGGTGCAGTTCTACATGGCCATCATCAAGTCCATCCTCAGCTCCTCCATCACGGTGTGGTACGCCGGGGCCACTGCCAGGGACAGACACAGACTGCAGCGCATTGTGGGCTCTGCTGAGAAAGTGATCGGCTGTAGCCTTCCATCTCTCCATGACCTGTACGTCTCCAGGACTCGGGGCCGAGCAGGTCGGATCACAGCTGACCCTTTTCACCCTGCACATGGACTATTTGAGACACTCCCCTCAGGCAGGAGGCTACGGTCCATTCAGACCAGAACCTCCCGCCATAAGAACAGTTTCTTCCCCTCTGCCGTTGGACTCATGAACACTTTATAATTCAGTCACTTTAACTCTGTCACTTTATCACTGGTCACTTAATGTACCTTGGTTTTTTAATTGCACTCCTCCCACTGCACTGCTGTTCTGTACAGCTTGGCGGACCTCGGTGCACCTTAGTCTACGAAAATACCAAACTGGCTGTACGCCGGGCTCCGCCAGATAAAAATACCACTGCACGGGGTCCGCCACCCTCTGCTGTGTCGCAGACTGGCACGAAAATAGAGTCCAGACTGTCTGTCTTTTACATCCGCCCTGATCAGAAGCAGTAACGTTCTGAATCTTCCTGGAGACTCAGTGCTTTAGCAGATGTTTATTAATAATCAGTATCCCTGCTTGACAGTGGTCCAAATAACGGTCACGATAATGTCAAGCCACACACAGACAAACACACACAAATGCAGCGATGATCTGAGGGGGAAAGAAAAGAGGAAGTTGATGTAGGAGGGTAGAAGAGGATAAATTGAGTGATATAAAAAAAGAAAGGATGGTAGAGTCAGGTGTGACACTGCTTTTGTGTCTTGATAGGCAGAACAAGGAGCAAGACTTGATGCCAGAGCAGGTGAGGTTGCGGTTGCCAAGGTTACAGACGTCTGCAGCAAACGCCCATCTGTTCCCCTGACATGAGCATCTCTGCAGTGACACAGCAACAATGAGAGGAGGGGAGAGGGTCAGGCCAAAAGAAAGGGGAAAACAAAAAGGGAGGTGAGAAGGAGACAGATTAAAGAGAGGCAGAGAAGCTGCAGCAGGAGCAGCGCCAGATAAAGAGGAATAATTCATGAGGGCTAGATTCTCCCCACCATGAAACCGAGAGTGAGAGCAAACCCCCCAGACGACCAGGCAGACAGTCATTCTGACCAAAACACGCCACCAGGACCCACACACACCGGAGTGTGTCAGTGCGTAAGCCCTGCACACTAACCTCACACACCACATGCTGCAGGAATGCATTACAGCACGAAACACGACTCTGCGGCGTTAAAGCCACAGGAGGAGGCGGTTTGGAGGATTCTGATAGAGGAGAGAGACAGAGGTTTTTACTGTGGACCTTCACAGGGTTGACTAAAGCATGGATGGATGACATCTCAGCCAATCAGAGCCCAGGAAAGAAGCAATTGTAGACAGCTGACCTGAACTTCACTGCAACATATTACAGCCTGATAAACGCTGGGTTAGTGTTTCAACACAGATTCAGATGAGCTCATGGTAAGAGGGTTTTCCTGCCTGTCTACTGCTAAGCTCACACACAGGACGAGGATCTAGACCCAGTTACACTCACAGTAAACACCTTTAGGTCACACTGTAAATGTTTGTAGTTCTTCTGAGGTGATTCAAGGATAATGTATCCCTTTACTTTTTTGTCTGATAAGGCTCTGAATATACTGAATATATTTTTCCAAATAAACCCAACCGCATGAGGAAACCCACATTTAACAGGAGAGGGAACACGACAATGTTGACCTGATTGTGACTTTGACCTTTGAACTCCAGCCGTCAAACTCTGTGGTAATAGTCGGTCCATTCTGAACTACTGTAGAAACACATACTGAGGTGACCTGCAGCTCTCAAAGGATGCACATTTTACAGACTTGAGGTATCAAATGAGTTAAAGTCGTGGAGAGAAGAAAATAGGCCGTGTAATAAGGACATTAATATTTCTGTCTGCTGCTGTTCCTGGAGTCTGACTGACAGACTCAGTAACTGACCCTCTGGTTCATCCAGAACTAAAGACACTGGTTCTTCTCTTCCTCCTCACTAAATATCTGAATTTATTCTCTGAACAAATCTCATAGGTCATACGCTCTGTGAATTGGAAAATTAAATTAAATTCAACCATGATATGTTATTTAAAATCTGTGTGTGTGTGCGCGCGCGCGTGTGTGTGTTATGTAAAAGAGGAACCTGCTCTGACTAAAGCTTTATGACACTTAATGTTCATTAGTTTTATAAGAACGAAGCCATAACAGCTCATAATTCAGTGAACTAAAGCCGAAACAGAACTTTTGCAAACTGTGTGCAGTGAATGCAGCTTATTTAGTCCAGATCACATTAGTCCAAAGTATCCAAAATACTCTGTGACATAATAAGCACTCTAAGCTTTAACTTTAACTAATACACTGTTTAATTATCTCGTTATGAAGAACTATGATTGAGGTTGTGTTTAGTGAACAGGTGCACAGTGGTGTACACTGCAGAAGAGCCCTCTTGGATGCTCCTGACATAAATAAAGCAGCATAAAACACCCTCTCAGAGCTCTTTTTGTAGAGAAACTGCTGTAGTAGTTGGTTCTCTTCAGGATAATACATGACAAAGTGACCACTGGATGCTTTTTCACAGCATAAAACCTAATAAAGTAGTGCTCTGTGGATGCTCCGCTCCTACTAAAAATGTGTGCATTTCTAGCAGTGAATGTTTCTCTTGTTTTTATATGGTGCAGTTTATTCACATGATCCACCTGGTTATTATAAATAAATGATTCAGATACAGAAATCCGCTGTATTAAATCTTCTCTTGGTTTTGCAATGAAATAAATAAATCAGTTTGCTTTGAGAAGATGACAAAGATATGAACTGTTTTTCTCGGGGTGGAGAAAATAAGTCAGACTAATTCACAGAGATACAGACTTATGACCCAGAGAGGAGAGAAGCTTCTGGATGTCAGGATAAGAGGAATGAATAGCCAAAGATGTCAAAGATCAGAGTTTGTAGGTTTAGCTTTCATTTAGAAAAACACACCCGCAGACAGCTGAACCAAGAATGATGGTCACTGCGTCAGGTTCCTGAAGTACACCTGCTGGTTCTCTCCAACATTTTCTTTTTTCAGCCTGTTGTTGTCAGCCCATCGTGACAAATCCAACAGTGAGAGATGTTGTTGTCAGACCTCCAATAACCTGTCCCCTGTCTCACAGCAACAACTTCAGCATTCTGCTTTTATTGAGACATGTATGGTGGCTTTTTTTTTCTTCACATGCAGAGAGCTCTGTGCTCTCATTGGTTAACCTCACAGCGAATTGCCGTTCACTCTTGACACTGTACGCTGTATATAATGATTGATTCTCTGGGTTACAACTCACTACGCCTGTTTGAAGAAACTTTGTCACATTATGTGTGCTGTGGGCCTTTGTCCTCCAAAAACATCAGAACTTTGTGTTGGAAACACTAAAAGCTGTTCCTGATGCAGCATGTGCCAAAATAAAAACCTTACGTAAAGAACCATGAGCTTATTGGTCTATTGAATCTTTTTAGATGTATATATTTCTGTTATTTTTTTACTCATAAACTGTAAAATATATTTTTTTTAATTATGCTTTTCCATCACTGTCACATCTGCACCACAACACCACCCTAAGCAGCTGTTCATCACTGCTGCAGTGTTACAGAGATCAGCCAAAAAACAGCAGCAACACCAGTGTTAGAAAACTTCTGACCCTCACAAACACACGCATGCACACATGAACATATATGTGCACAGATGACCATGCTTCAAACTCATGCAAGCACAGAGCTCAGGCCTCTTCCGCCTGTTAGAGATGCAGGATCAGTGTGTCGGTGCAGAGGTTCAGAGTGGAGTCAGCTGGGCCTGGGAAAGCATGCACACACTCTGGCTTTGATTACAGAGGCTTTAAATCTCTCTTACACACACACACACACACACACACACACACACACACACACACACACACACACACACACACACACACACACACACACACACACACACACACACACACACACAGGAATAAGCAGAGTGCAGTTCAGATACACACTCTCTCCCTTGAGACCCACACAGGGCTGTACAGCAAACCTCCAGACAGGACATATTTACTGAAAAATGGGGGTTGTTGGCAGAGGCTGCTTTGTGCTGCTAAAAATACTCTGAAAGTGAAAACGGGCCGGCGTGAGTGTGCAGTCATAACTCAGAGAGGGGAAACTGGAAGAATAGAGGAGGAACAGGGAAAGTTAAGTTCAGATATCTTTGATAGAGGAGTTGTTCAGATAGTAAACATTGGTTTTATATCAAGTTGAATAGAGACCAAAACACCAATGCAGTTTTTTCAGATGCAGTAAAAATAATCGAGTCAAATAATAATTTATTGTGAATTTGTCAAACTTTGTCTTATATGCTGCTGTATTAGACACATTAGAGAAACTGTATCAGAAGCTATACCAAGGCAGCTTAGGCTAAAACAGCTTCATTGCTCAAGGCAGAGTTTTTTTTAATTTAGTTCGGTTTAGCGCTTGGATAATAGTTTAGTGATTTGGTCATTCATGAACCTACCTGTCTCTCTATTTCTCCCTGAAAACTCTGCAAACCACTTCACAATCCACCTCCTCCTTTTTTTTGTTGTCTGATTTTACCAGTCTTTGCTGATGCTCTCCCGGCCTCCACACCAGCTCGTCTTTCTTGGACTGCGTCTGTTTTTCAATCATTACCCCTGTTTAAACAAGACACGACCAGCAAAGTAACATTTGTTCACTGTCCACCAGGAGGCTGAAGGTTGAGGAGAAGTTTACATGTTTACAGTGAATGCAATGATTTAACTAATCAGAGTTATTAATGTGTGCAGTGATTGATTTTACTTTCTGGTAACTGTCATTACATTTTGACTTCCTGGTATCAGGATCACTTTACTGGCTATCGTCCATTCGTCTCTGATCTTGATGAAGAAGCTGAGGGGTCATTGACCTTTGGATGCATTTCAAACCATCATGTCCTTTATGGTGGAAAAACCATGCCTGCATCGTTCTACAGTGCATTAGTGATTCAGACTCTCCTCCCTCTAATCCAGCAACCTGACACTAAACCAGAGTCAATGGGAAGGAAAATCAATTAAAAACACATTTGTGCACCTTTGCAGTTTCATATTGATCTGTTGGCTTTCCTCTCATCAATAGAAATGTTAAAGTTTGAATGTGAGTGACGTCTACCATCAGAATATCCTTTGTAACTCAGAGGGACATCTGAAATCAGACGTCCAGAGCAGAAAATCAGGTCATGGAGGGTAATGTGAAGAATTTCTGACTGTAAACACTCATTTCAAACAAAGCTGCTGTTTGATGGCACTGTGGGCAGACTTGTTTCTGATCAGTGGCTGATTTTCAGGACTGTCTGGAGGCTCCTCAACACATGATCCTACAGAGCTCTCAGTAAATACCTCCATAGCTTCTCTACATTACATTCTGTGCAGCGTGTTTTAGTCTCCATTGGTGTGTTCATTTGTGTTTTATCCAGTAACATAAAAATGAGCCAAACATTTGAGCAAAAATAACAGGTCCAATAAAGCAATAAAACTTTGCATTCAGCTCAAATACCCATCAATATAGTCCTTAAATCTAGTTCAGACTCCTTTTCTCACAATGATAAAAAAAAAAAAACTGTGGTTATCAGTCTTTTACTATTTTCAGTCCCAGCATCCTCAAAAATGAAACTGTGCTCTTGCTTCTCAGTCTTTGTAAATAGAAACCCAGTTTATGACACTTTTTTGGTGTATTTGAACAACTGTACACAAGAAAAGTTCAAAATATCCTTGAGTTTGCAAATCTGGAATTCCCCATCTTTGTGTTTTCTCAGACCAGAGCTAATCAATGAATCTGCACTGATAAAATGTGATCCTTATGATGCTTTGAAGGCAATTTGAAAGGGTTGTCATGCTGCAAAGGATAGCATGCATCATTGTCTGTTTACATACAATGTGAGTGTATTTAACGAAATTAACATTGAGCAACATCTGGATTTGAATCTCAATGGAGTTCTACTGTTATAATAAATCAACCGATGAAGAAGTTCCTCTTCTCAGCTGTCTCCACACGTCTGCTTTGTACTGGAGGTGGCCACACAGACTGACTCATCCCAACTTTCTATCAACCCAGCATGAGGCAATAAGTTGGAGTATGTGGGTTTTAGCCTGCCCCGCCTGTCAAAGTGGCCATGCCCCGTATCCTTTTTATGCACCATTTGTAACCTTTAGCATTCACAGTAGAGAGCATAGACTGTATAAACTATGGACAACTTGGCTCCGCCTTCCGTCATTGTATGAATTTGAAGCCAAATTGCTCTTGGTATTTCCAGGATTATAGTTCCAGAACTATAGGTTGTATCATTCATAGAAAATATGAACCTAATTACTTTTAAAAATGGAGCTGCACAGAAAAAAGAGAATTTGAGCACAAACCAGTCTGACAGTAACTACATGTCAACATTGCAACCTGGGGGGAGAAAAACTTAAATTCTGTGTGATTAATTCCTAAAATTTGTCCACAGCTCCATAGGGATTGCTGGAGGTGTCATGATCTGTGTTTTGTTGTTAGTTAATTACTCCATTGGCTTCACCTGTGTCTTGTCCCCTTCTCTATTTAACCCCTCCTCACTAGCTCTTCCCTGCCAGATTGTCTTTGTCAGTTTCGTACAAGCTTTCTCGCGTTTTTGATATTTCTCTGCTCTCTGTGTATGACCTGTTTTGATCGCCTTGGACTTCTGATTCTTGCCTGCCCCACTGGTTTTGTCACCTGATTATTTGCTGCTCTGTTGATTTTGACCCTGCCGGGTTTTTGTTGGATTAAAGGGGACCTGCCATAAAAATGTCATTTTTGGTTTTTTTTGTGTCATATAAGGTCCATAATATGTTCGTCTTATGTTGTAAATGTGAAAACAAACCGTTACGTCGTTTGCATTCTGTAAAGGTTTAAAATAAAGAAACGAGTAAACCAGGCCAATTGAAAAAGCAGGTCGGTGTTACGTTGCGCCGACCTTGCTCATTATTATTCACGAGCGCGTCCTCGGTGAGCCGTGCCCACTCTCTCGTTCTCGTACTCAGTTACAGCCAGAGCGAGACCCAGCTACCGCTGTATCCGCTATGGGTCTCTTCCAAACGACCGGTGTTTCCTTGGGTTCACTGCCGGGAAAATGAACTTAAAGCTGGGCAGAATGAATGAGAAAACACCGCTGGAGATCTCCGGCTTCTTCCTCAAATTCCACCTCCTCTTCGGACTCGGGGTCTAAAATTTATGGTTTAATACCTGCCGTTTTTAGCCTTTAGCATAAGGTGACCAGACGTCCCCGATTTCCGGCGACAGTCCCCGTATTGGATGACCTGTCCCCGGCAAAAGCTGTCCCCGAAAATGTCCCCGATTTAAGCGTTTCATGAATGAGAGCAAAAATGTTGCGTGTGGGCTCGAACAACGGTTATTACAGTAGCCGAATAGGTAGGAAGCACAAGTTAGCAGTCCTGAACAACAGTTCTTACGGGGGTTATTACAAGGGGCATGCGCTGCTACTAAATAGTACCGAGACTTTGTCTGTGATCACACAGCCCCTGCAGCCCCTGCACCTCCGCCGCATCGAATATCCCCGGATATCATTACAGACATCTGGGCACCTTACTTTAGCACACATTAGCATATGCTATTAGCATTAGCATAATAACAATGGATAAACCGAAATCCGAACCTCCACTGCTGAGCCAATCAGAGCACAGCAGGCTTCACAGCAGCGATCCAATCAGAGCAAAGCTCATTACCATAAATGTTAATGAGCCAAAACCAGTTGGTTTTCCAGTAAGGTTTTTTAGGCACACTAAAACAAACCATCAAATAACTTTTCAGCTAAAATTATGTTGCAAACATGATCAGAGGACATCAAAGATTATGAAGAAATGATAAAAATGGGTATGAAATTTTGGTGGCAGGTCCCCTTTAAAAGAGTTTGCCTTTTTGGAAACTGAACAACTGCCTCACGTCCTCTGCTTTTGGGTCCACACACTCTTGGCCTCTCACTGGAGGAGGCGGGATTTCTGACCTATACTGCACCCCATCACCAGAGGGTGCTGTTCTCGCAGTGGCTTCATCCAGCGAGGAGGCAGCCGGTGTCCATTCTATATACAGTCTATGGTAGAGAGCAGGACAGTTAGAGAAAAGGACAGTAAGCATGTTTAGCACCTTGGCATTGGCTTTGTTTTGCAGTATTGAAGGTTGTTGAATAATTTAACCACTGCAGCTGACACCTGCTGAGGCCTGTACTACGAAGCTGGATTCACACATCCAGGGTACTTCTGCAACAACTTGCTCAACTTCACCGGATCTCCGCGATCCCAATCGGCTGTGCTACGAAGCCGGTTATCAACTCGATAACTGAATCCAGGTGTGGCCACTTCAGATCTGTGCGCGCACACATAAAGGGGGTGGGGTCAGTGCCACCGGACCAATCTCCACAATGGAGAAGGCTGCATGTCATATTTCACAGCGGAAGAACAGAGCATTATTTTACGCAAATACGAGGAGTACCGCAACATTATAACAGTGATAAGCAGGACAGCCACAGCCGCTAAAAGCCGGAGGGACTGCTGGCAAAAAAAAATCCCCGGTTGTGTAAATTACATTTGTGTGTTCATAAATTTATGGCCCCCTAATATGTTGTCATGCAGCGTGTGTGATCACCACCATCAATGACCTCATTATTTCAGATACAACAGCAGTGGGGAAAAAAATTCGTGGGAGTAAATAAAAATAAATCTAAAAACATCCTTTAAAGTAGTTTGTAAGTTTATTTGAAGATTTTATTTGTACATATTTCAACGCGTAAACAGTGATTTCCTCACACTGCCTTTTTTTCTTTTTTCTCCATCATCTGATGGTCACATGTCATCTGCAGACACATTTGGGGTTAAGAGGAGTTTTTTAATCTGCTTCGATAAATTCTGAATGATGACTGATATGCCGCATGAAATTGGAACCTGGAGCTTGGCAAATATTAGTGCATTTCTTAGACTTCATGCTACCTGAATCTTGAGGCCGTCCACGGAAAACCTGTAACATTCATTAAGAACGTCATCAGGAAAATTAAACGGATTTGAACGATCATGAATATAACGCTCTAGGCGAAGCGCTCCTCTCACTATCCGTGCAGCAATGTCCCCGGGATCCGGCAAAAGTGGGCAAGTCATTTTCCAAGAGATCCGATCGGTCAGTGGGCGGTTTTTTATACCTGCTGAGATCTTATCCTGAAACATAACCTGCTCCGGAGCAGGTTTGTCATTCCACGCAAGTTACCGGGGCAACGGACCCGGATAAAAAGAGATCAACCTTTGTAGTACAGAAAACCGAGAAGTTATCCATGAGTTATCTCGCTAAGACCAAATCCAGCTTCGTAGTACAGGCCTCAGGTCAACAGAAATCTTGTAGGTTTCAGACTCCTCCACTCTGTCTTAAATTCTTTATACCCTCCTCTTTTTGTAGACAGTCTATCAAGTCTATGAGGTTATTTCAACATAAATTCTGACTGTTTGTCACAGGATGTTCCAGCAAGAGTTTAGAGTCACATGTCTTTTTTTTTTTCTGAACCAGCTCTCTGTGAGGTGAAGGGCACCCAGGAGAGAAACTCTCATAAACATCACACACATCCCACTCACCACAGCAGTTTGCATGTAAAGCACATAGAGAGGTCTGAAGACACGACCATCATACATGATCATCCCCTGCATGGAGGAGTGTTTGAAATCCACTTCACATTCACACTGATCTCACACACAAACCCCACAGATATAAATACACTTACACGGCTTATACATATGGAGGCACATCCTCACACTGTCCTAACAGGATTCACATGTCAGCATGCACAATGAAAGCTGTGTGCAGACGGAATCAACTGTAACATGCAGCACGCCATCTGCACGGAAGGATCATATGAGCTGCTTCAGGGCAGGGAGGGGGTCTGAGCATCTGTGTCATGATAACACACACAGAGGACAACAAACATGCACACACAAACATATGCTGAGTGGGGATGAAAATTAACCCAAATTACTGTCATCATACCTGTTTAACCTTACACCAGTACATCTGTCTGTGCATCATGTGGGTACAAAACCTTTAAACACTTCACAATTTATAACATCACTCCTGAGTATTCTCAAAGTTAATAAATGTGTTTTTATGCTTTATAACAAATTTGTATAAAATCGTACATTGAGTTCTAGTGCTGTCGAAGCAGAGCTACATTAGGAGGTGCTGAGTCACACACTGCAGTGGTCTAAATATAGCATTGTGGGTAATGTAGTTTGGGTGTCATGCATGCTCCTCTGCCTCTCTGCGCTCTCCTGACCCCACTGATTAATTACACAGAGAGCAAGACAAGCAGAGTAAGGGAATCACAGACCCATCTCATACCATTCTAAAGCTATATATACTAATATACACAGAGAAGCGGTTCACCACTCTGTGAGAGACTGTGTGAGCTAATAGTTCAACAGTTTCAGAATAATGTTCCTGAGTGTCAAATGTGAAAGAATGAGTGGATTTCATCATCTACAGTACATCATATCATTCAAAGATTTAGAGAATCTGGAGAAATCTCTGGACTAAAGGGACAAGGACCAAAACCAAGACTGGGTGGTCCTGATCTTCAGACCCTCAGGCAGCACTGCAATAAAAACAGACAGGACTCTGGAGTGGGCTCAAAATCACATCCAAAAAGTATTGTCTGTGAACACAGTTCATCACTGCATCCACAAATAATAATAATAATAATAATAATAATAATAATATCTTACATTTGTATAGCGCCTTTCAAGATACCCAAAGCGCTTAACAACACACTACAAAAAAAACCTAACTAGATACCAAAAGCCTGGATAAACAAGTGTCGTTCCAGAGCAGACTTGAAAGAGTCAAGAGTCCTGACTTGTCCCCCATTGAAAACATTTGGAGCATCATGACACCAAAATTAGGACAAAGGAGACCCTGAACATTTTACTTTAAAATCCAGCTGAACTCTTTTAGATGATAGAAGTGATGCCAGGAGAAAATGTGCTATTATGCAAAGAAAGCTATTAGCCTGTTGTAACACTGTCAGAGTTATAACACAAGTCCCGCTTCTGAAAAGGCAAAAAGCCAATCGTATCTTAGGATTTTTGGGCAGCACCAGGGATGGCAAATCAGATTTCAAGTGAGCCCATGCCTCTGAACAAACCCCTACAGACATGATCAAAAACAATCATCCATATCAGAAATGTTCTGTTGTTGGGGAAGGAAGTGTGGGGCAGATGAGAGAGAGGACATCAAGCGCCAAAACATAACACACTGCTGTCTGTTGGTGTGTGCCACTGTTTCCATGGTAACCTACCTTGAGGCAGAGCTGCAGAGACACTGTGATGAAGGATAGAAAATGAAGTGAATGAATGAGAAGGAGCAAAAACACACCTAAACTACACACACAGACACACAGGTGTGTATGGCAAAGGACAAATTAAAGCACTGTCACTGACAAAGATTCATCTAATAGTTTTCAGGAGGCTTTAAATGTCACGTGTTTTATAACTATTTTTTTATTATAGATAACTTCTTTGGGGGGGGGGAGCGGCAGAGGAAGACAGGGAGAGAGAGAAAGACCTTTATGTAGACACCAAACAGGTGGCATTATGAATATTTAAAAAAATAGCAATAATTTAATTACTTCATATTATAATTACAAATATTGTACAATTATAATAATTATATTCCCTATTATGAATCATATTATAATGCTACAGAGTGTTAATGATCCAAGAAGGTGGTCAGCTTTAGTTAGTGGAGTGATACGAGGTTGTGTAAATGTGTTTACAAGTGTGTGTGTAAAGTGTGTGCGCACGTGCATGTGTACAGCTGAGCCAGCAGAAACCTCACCAGTCATCACGCCTGGCTGATGGCTGTTAATACTACGGATTAACACCTAACCTAACTCGAACAACTCTGACCCCCACCCCACCTTCCCCACCCCATCCACCCACACACACACACACACACACACACACACACACACAAACACACACACACACTCTCTCTGTCTCTCTCTTTAACACACACACACATACACACACACTTACAAACACACTTATGTTCTTTAAATATTTCCAAAGTTTAAGTTTAAGCTCCAGATCATGTATCTACAAAATGAAAGACCAAATTTACATTTTATAAGACACTGTCACTGTAAAGCACACACACACACACACACACACACACACACACACACACACACACACACACACACACAGTTAGCTGCATACCTCTCCTCTTATGTCATTAAACCAGACTCAGAGTTCAGCTTCCTAAGCTTACACTGTGTCACTGTGTGTGTGTGTGTGTGTGTGTGTGTGTGTGTGTGTGTGTGTGTGTGTGTGTGTGTGTGTGTGTGTGTGTGTGTGTGTGTGTCATTGTCCTCATATTGTTGGGCAGCAAATATTGAACTTCAGGCTGTGAAGAGTTTGAGGGTTCCTCATATGTCTGAAGCAACACCTGTAGAGTGTGTGTGTTACATTGTCCTCATATTGTTGGGGAGCGGATACTGTAGACTTTAAGAACTCTTCATAGACTCGGGGGTAATGAGCGAACATGTTCTTGTGTATAACTAGTTAGGTTCAAAGGTGAAGAATATTTGTTATAGTGTATTGTTGTTTGTTGCAGACACCAAGTGCCAAGAACCCCACTCAAGCTTCTGCAAAGCCTCAGGAGAGAGAGGGATCTTCTCCAACTTTACATCAGGTATTGTGTCAGTTTGGATTTCATTTCAACGTGTGTGGGGAAGTGTTGACAGTATTTATGTGGCTGCATTTATGTGACCATCACATGTATATGAGTTGTTTAGTATTTATAAACTGGCCACACTATTTGGTAGTGATATGTCTGACTGAGAAAATCACATTGAATGTTATTCTCCCAAAATTCAGTATTTTATGTATCCACACTAACGTATTTGTCCATTTAACCTCCTACTTATCAGTTTAATTGACTGGATCCGTGGAGATGTAGATCCATTTATATCACTGTGGACTTTAGAGCTTCATTTGAACAAATCAGGTGAAGTTAGAAGTCAGGAACATAGAGTCTATGAGTGTTGAGCCGTCAGGTCCTCATATGTCTGAGCCAACACCTGCAGAGTGTGTGTGTTACATGTGTTACATTGTCATATTGTTGGGCAGCAAATATTGAACTTCAGGCTGTGAAGGGTTTGAGGGTTCCTCAGACGATGTCCTCATATGTCTGAGCCAACACTTGCAGTGTGTGTGTGTTATATTATCATATTGTTGGGTAGGCTGTAAAGAACTTTAGAATGCTCTTCACCGTTGTGAAATCATATTGTTTTAGGCTGTGAAAGATTTGAGTGTGTTTTAGATGATGTCCTCATACATCTGACACAACCACTGCAGAGTGTACATATTCCTTAAATTATGGGGTAGCAGATACTGTACAGTTTGAAAACTTCTTAAAATCTTTTACAGTAAGTGAGGATCTTGAATCATGCCTGTGTCCTCTGCATATAAACTCATTGTAGCCTTTCACCTCAGCAAAAGTGATTTATAATTGGCAGGATGTAAAGGTCGTCATGTTTTTGTCATCTTCTGTCTGAGGTTGAGTCTAATATAGTTTTTTTCTTTTTTACACCCAAATTATTTTCTTTTTCATTATAATGAATTGCTTCAATTTCATGTAAAATTCTTAGTAAATATTAAAAAAAAGTTGGGTCTTTCTCATTTCATTTCAAGGCCAACTGCACCACTGAAGTTGTCCCAGTCCAAAAGAGAGCAACTGCCAAGCAGGTAAGAGAGGTGTCTTCTCCTGCCTCTTTCTTTGAGCTAGGAATTTCATGTATTACAGAGATTGTTTTCACATGATTTTTCACTTGAACAGTTAAAAGCAAGTTATCGTCTGCAGAAGTTAAAGTGACGACATGCCCAATGTGAAGAAGGTCATGATGAGGCCAAGAAAAAGCTCAATGAGAGAGAGAGGCAGAAGACCTTGAGTCTCATCCCCACATTAAAGGATTCTGTGAGTATGAAACTAAGCAAAAACCGACCATTCTTTTGTAATATGTACTGTAAAAACAAGAACATACGTTTTAAAGTGCCCACCAGTCCACATGTAACTGAAATTCTGTGATTCACTACTCGTTCCCTGATCATGCACCATGGTTTAAAGACAACATTGCAGCAGATTTTGTCTTTCGAAATAGGTGTAAGAATTTATGCAGTAGCTGAGTCCTAATAAGAATCCGTTATGCCATACATTGGTCTTCCTTATATTGCACACCGTAAGATCACATCCTATACTGAAAAGTATTTTGATATAGGCTCTACTGTATAGTATGGTATAGGTAATAATAGTTGTAATAATTTACAACTGAGAATGATAAATGTTGGGCTTTGTTCCTCTCCATTTTCCTTCAGATCTCTACTGATGTATCTTCAGTGTCAGACAATACTGATTATGAAGATATTGACTATGTTCCAGACACCAGTGACAGTTCTGATTCAAGTCTTGGCAAGGATGAAGTGAGAGTCAAAGACACTCATACTCCCCCAAAAAACATGCCATTGGTGACAGCAATGGCAAACAGTGGGGTGATCTGGGATTCAGAGATGCCTACAAGTTCTACACTGAAGATCAGCAGTCACAGTATTACAGTGATAAGTTGCAGTCTCGGTTCATCAGGATGTTCATCACCCAAAAAGCAAAAAAACCAAAAAGACACATGAAAGTGTACAACATAACCCAAGAGTTGCACCATTGCCTAACACAGCCAAGAGAAGCAAGTACAACAAACAACAACAGTTTGTATTGTAAGAAGGCCATTTATAAATTGGCAAGACATCTCGAATCTGCCCGTAATGACCAGCCTGACGTTGCAAAGGCTCTCAGTTTTGATAAAAGATCCCGCAAACGGAGAACGGAGTTGTTACGTTCTCTGAAAAAAATGGGAAACTTTGAACACAATGCTACTGTGGCAAGTTGCGGTACTGGTGAAATGGTAGCATAAGACGCGTTGCAGTAAAATCATCAAATGAGTACCGTCATTGCAAGTTTTGCCAAGGGCTATACGCAAGGGATTGCCTTTGGCGACATGTTAAAAAGTGTCCCAAGAGGCCTTTTGAAGAAGAGCCTCATGTTGGCCAAAAACGGATTTACCTGGACTTACCAAAACCTGAGGAAGTGCATGAAGCTGTGTGGAAGATTGCTTGTGAAATGTACCAGGACAACATTTCCTCAGTAGTACGAAGTGAAAGAGACATTCTCAGGCTTGGTGAGTCACTATATAATGTCAAGAAACCACAAGAGTAAAGGAACGATTACATACGTCAAAAATTGAGAGAGATGGCAAGGTTATTAATAACTGCCAGAGCCATGGCCCCTTTGAAAAGCACTGAAGACCTTGTTATGCCAACTAACTTTCCCCTTGTCATAAAAGCAGTCAGAGCTGTCGCTGGATATGAGGTACAAAGCAACTCGTATAAAATCCCATCCTTGGCTTTAAAGTTAGGCCACAGTTTGGCCAAAGTTGCCGGCATTGTGCAATGCAATGCTATCATTGCAAATCGCCATGCTGTTGCAGAATCAGCCAAGCAATTTGCCACTTTATATGAAAAAAAGTGGAATGAGTGTATTTCAGCTTCTGCACTGGGTACACTTACGCAAGCAAAATGGAACAAACCACAGGTTTTACCATTCATACAGGACGTTTCACTGCTGCACAGATTTCTGGCTACTGAAAGTGCTAAGTGCATGAAAGACATGGAGGAAAATCCAAACAGCACAAACTTTGGAAATCTGGCAAAGTTTACTTTGACACAGGTCGTACTCTTCAACAGAAAAAGGCAAGGGGAAGTTTCAAAAATTGAGCTTCAGGCTTTTACATTGCGGAATCGTTCACAATTGAATCCTGACATTATGATGTGCCTTAGTGACTTAGAAAAGAAGCTTGCAAAACACTTTGACAGGGTTGAAATTCGAGGTAAAAGGTCACGAATGGTACCTGTGCTTCTCACACCAGACATGATTGCCGCAATGGACTTACTTGTGAAAAACAGGCATCAGTGTCAGGTCCACGCAGAGAATGCGTACTTGTTTGCACGGCCAGGTGTCCTTTCCCACTACAGAGGCTCCCACTGCCTTCGCAGCTATGTGAAACAATGTGGTGCAAAGTACCCAGAGGCACTCACCTCAACAAGATTGAGGAAACAAGTTGCCACTTTGTCCACAGTCCTAAATCTCAAAGAAAATGAAATGGACCAGCTTGCCTCTTTTCTTGGACATGACATCCGTGTCCACCGTGAATTCTACCGGCTCCCTGAGAGAACCCTGCAGCTGGCAAAAGTCAGCAAACTCTTGATGGCTATGGATGGAAAAAGGACAACTGTCTGACCTGCAGGGAAAGGGGCTTGATGACATCATGATCAGCCCTGATGGTAAAATTTTATTTTGAAACATTTCATAATGCTTCAAATAAATGTTCACATTTAAGATAATTTCGCCTTTTTTTTTTTACCCACCAAGATGAAGTAGCCACGAGTGACGAGGATTCCGGTGAAGGATTCCGGTGACCCACATCAGCAGGTCTCCATCATTTCTCAGAGACGGGAGGAAAGCAGCAGTGGTCAAGGTACAGTGCACTGACAAGGGCGAAGTGCTGAGCTTCACAAAAAATGTGGCAAAAACCAAAGCAGGGACAGTGGATGAGCTAGGAGTGTTGGGAAGAAGGTGAAGCTGGAGGCAGGCACCTTTGGAGAACAGATCACAAAGAATGCTAAAGATTGAGAGATGACATTTGGGAACGCTTGTTCCAAGAAAGATAGTTAGTCAGACTCATGTTTTCACTGACGGTATCTACTTTGTGTGTGCTTGCACTGAGAAAAAGTGGGGGTCCTAAAAGGTGAGGTAGCCACATGGCAGCCTCTATCTGGCTGAGAGAATGGTCACAGCGTCAGTGGCCACGCACAGAGTTAACAGAGCTTGGCGGTTAAAGGCGGCTTGGCGTCTGTGTCAGTCATCTGTTCTTCTTTCTTGTCTTTTGTTTTCATGGCATCACCAAAGGGCACACTGTGCTCTTTGGAGGAGCTACAAACCTTCCTCACACTGCTTGCCCACCACTGCCCACACCGAGAGCTGGATGCCTCCACTCACAGCCCACCAGTGGACCAGCAGCCCTCCAAGAAAACATGCTCATGGTCGGGAAGAGTTATAACAAAATAAAACGTAACATGTTATCACTTTTTTTTTTTCCACAGCTATCAATGACAACAAAAGCCAGAATGAAATGACGTCACGGGAGGGGCAACACGTCATCAGGAGGTTCTACTATAGTGGAAACATTTCCCCCAAAAAAGTACAGGCTCTAGTAGATCTGAGTAGAGCTGATACCGTCAGTTGAAACACAGCATTAGTAAGTTTTAGGTTCACTGAATGTCGAGTCAAATAACTTTTCCTATGTTGCAAACAAAGAAAGCCAGTCAAATCTTGTCTATACACACTGACATTTCATTGTTACTATGTTAAGTGTCAAGATCTAAGACTTCTGGAGACCGAAGCCATGTACCTGACTCAACCACACGGGACAACATGGAGGGCACTTCTTTCGGAATGACATTGGACAACGAAAACGTCAACACTCAGCCCAATGGTAAAATATAAAAGGCAGCCAAACAAAACAGTTTGAAGTGATTGTTCTTGTGATAAGAAGAAAGTATTGCATTAATGTATTCTCAGTAATGGCAGTCTCTAATACATTTTCTTATCAATCTTTTTAGATATCCAGCAGGACAAAGCTGAGAACGCTACAATCCAGGTTTCCCCGAAATGCTCCAATAGAAAGCAAGGTTAAAACACACATTTCATTGACAGTATTACCTAAAATATTTTCCATCATTTCCATCAAGCCTTTTCACAATCGGACAGCAATTTTTTAAAAGGTAAGAGAATTTTTTTTTTCTATTTGACAGATCGGAAGGCAAGAAGACAATGGGCTGTTGATGAAGTGAAGGCAGTTGAGCGACACATGCTTCATTTCATAACAAGCTGCAAAGTCCCTGGTAAAAAAGTCTGTGATTCCTGCATCCAGGCAGAGCCAGTCGCCCTTAAGGACAGAGACTGGGTTGCCGTAAAATACTATATTCATAACAGAATCACAACATTAAAAAGAAAGATGAATAACTAAAACTATGAAGCCTGAAATGTTCTCCAGGTGCTGATGTAGAAATGTTATGTTTCCGTTTTAGGTCTTTCGAAAGTGAATCTGCTGTTCCCAGTCCACTTTATAAGCTTGCTTTTTTTCCAGCTCCCCTTGTTTTATTACAGTGCCTGTCATACTTTCTTTGATGTGTTCAAACTGCTCAGTTTCAACAAGCAGTTTCATCGAAAATAGTTTCATCGAAGCCAGGAGCTTCACAACGATGAATGATAATTTGGGCTTTTTTTGTTTAAATACAGCACTGCTTTTCTGTTGTTGTGTCAACAATGTGCCAGAAATTAAAGTAAACAAGGCAAAAATGGTTCAAATGTATTTATTCACATGAACATTTACTACTAAAGTTATGAATGCAATGCAGGACTTAAAACTTCATGTTGTTCCACATTAACTTGTGTTAACATTTGAATATCTGACATTTACTTCAGAGGTTACCTGGCTGGTGAGCATGGTTATTGTACAGCAATGCCATAGATATTTAAATCCTCAGTAGCAGTAGCCAAGTTGAAAATCCAGACCGGCCTGGTCTTTATAAGTCATGTATACCAGAAAGTGTGTGTATCCAGTGGCTTTACATTTCACCTAAATATGAAAATATCAGTGTGTTATAAGGTGGTACTCATAAGTAATAGAAACCTGACAATGTCCTAACAAGTAGCATAAAATTCAGACTTTTCCAAAAAGATGGTCTTAGCCAAAATCTCAATAGATTTCTGTATTCCTGGGAAAATTGGTAACAAACCCTGTGATTGACAGGCCTCTAGGCCTTTGGGAAAGGCGTGTACCCATTTTTCATGTTCCTCTCATACGTACCGTTAATCCCTCAAAACACGAATGTGTGTGTGTGTGTGTGTGTGTGTGTGTGTGTGTGTGTGTGTGTGTGTGTGTGTGTGTGTGTGTGTGTGTGTGTGTGTGTAACAGAGCATGTCTTGTGTTGTTGACCTCTGGGACAATGCTACACTGTGACATCAGGAAATAACCTTAGCAAGCTGCCAGAGATGGGCAGAGGGGATGGAGAAAGAGGAGGAGAAGGAGGAAGAGAGGCAGGATCTGATGGGAGGAATGTGTCAGCTGGTAAAGAAGAAGAGAGAAGGAGAGTAAGGTGAGAGGAGAGCTGGGAAGGAGGAGAGGGAGAGGTAAGGAGCAGGGATCAGGGTTAGTGATGAGGGGAGAGGAAGAGCTGAAGAAGAGGACTGAGGCAACATCTTCAGAGGAAAGAAAGAGTGAAAGAGAGGGAGCAAAAGAAGTAGAGAGAGAAAGAGAGGGAGAAAGATGCTGACTGTGTCTGAGACCTAATTAAAGATAATAATGTTGTTTGTGACCCTTCACATCATAGACCAGGACAAGGAAGGGAGAGAGAGAGAGAGAGAGAAGAGCTAAAGGTAAGTAAAGGAGAGAAAAAGAAAAGCAAGATAAAAAAGGATAAAATCAAAACTTATGAATAAGCAAAAAATGAGGTATCAATAAAAAACAATAAAGTAGAAAAAATGCAGCTACCAAAAACTAAAGATATTAAATATTTGAAAAAAATTGGAGGAGAAAAAAGAAAATGGGGAAAATACAGAAGGCAAAAGAGGGAAAAAAAGGGTGAGTAAAAGAAAGACACAGAGAAAAAAAGATATTAAAAAGAATGACGTAATAAAGGAATAAATAAAACTTTAAAAAGGTAGAAAAAAGAATGAATCAAGAGGTAAAGAACAAGAGAAAGAACAAAAGAAAAAAAGAGGAATTTATGAAAGAAAAGTAAGAAAGAAGATTTCTTATTAGAAAGAACAGTTAGAAAGAAAAAGAAAAAAGAAAGAGAAAAAAAGAAAGACGAATGAAAAAAGATTGAGACAGAAAAATGAATGACAAGAAAGTAATAATAATGAAGGATGAAAAAAAAGAGGAAAGGAAAAAAGGAACAGAATCAGGAGTAATAAAAAAATCACAAGAGAGAAGAAAAGTGGACAGAAACACAAGCACACAGCTGGCCTCAGAAAAAGCAAAAGGCAGATTCAAGAGTCAAGTGTATCCACCTGTCAGCCAAATCTTTCTCGCCCATTATTATACCAATCTCAACTTCACCTTCAAAGAGTTACAAAATCCACTGATTCAGAAGCTATCATGTGGTTATTTCTGCTGTGAAGATGAACGTTTTTGAATGAGTGTGTGTGTGTGTGTGGCATCAGGGACTTTTAGGGACAGCCTCTGGTGGACACCAAAGAAACTGCAGTTGTCAGGACTTAATTTTCAAGACTGGAGTTTGACACTTTAGTTGCACAGACATTTCTTGACCACTTTAGCACATTACAGGTCGCTTCTTTAGTTTTATGCACAAGTCAATATTTTGCTCCTTTATACTGGACAGTAACCTGCAGAAAGGTTCTGCTTTTTTCTGATGATAACCAGAGTAGTTCTGGGGTTTCAACTCTTAGAGGAAAATAGCCGTTAGATTAATAGATCCATCAAATCAGTTGAATAAAAAAGTGACCTGCAGGTTAATCCTAGCTGAATACAATGATCAGTTAATGCACTTCGTCACTCAGCTCAACCTCGTTATTGACACACATGAAAACATTATATTCCTGCAAACACACACACACACACACACACACACACACACACACACACACACACACACACACACACACACACTTACATCACAACCTGTATTTAACAGGTGTGGTTCATACTTTCAAAAGGCTCTTACATGAAAGCAGCTGATTCAAATGTGATCATGGTCTTTATATGTTCATGGAGGTGAAATTAAGGTCGGTAGTTGACTAATCCTGCAAACAACCCACTCATGTTTGCAACTAACTCCCAATTTAACCACTTTGTTTGCCTGATGAGCCACGTCCCATCACATAGTCTCCATCTGAGTGTGAAAGCTGCTCTCTCTGAAACACAATTAAGCCATCTCCCTCACATTTCTCCTCTCCTCTTGGCAACAACATGGCTATTTTTTCTCTTCTACCACTTCCAGCTCATTCTCACACACTCTCTCTCTACCCCTTGTTGCCTGGCAACCATGCTTGTAAATGTGATCCTGCTTGTCTATGATTGGCTGAAGAGAAGGCAGATCCATGTCAGAGTAAGGGCTGGAAAAAGGGGAGACACAAACCCAACAAGAACACAGAGGAAACATGCATTCAATACCAAATATCATACTAACGCAGAGTTATTTCATGTGTTTGTTATTTTGTTTCTTTGTGTCTGCGCATGCTGCATTCACAGACTGCTACAGCGATCACTGATCACTTTGTCTTTTCAACAGGCTGAACCATTCATGTGTGTTTGCGTGTGTGTGGTCACAATGGCTTGGCATGCTTTTAAGCAGGGCCTCCATGTTTTCACACATGTCTTTCAGCTGCTATGCATGTAGGAATTGTGTGTCTGTGAGTGGTGGGAGTTTTGAAACTAATCATCAGGTGATTTTACAGGAGGGTGGCTCTCTGCAAGCTGAATAAGGGAAACCCCTCTTGCAGAGTTGCATGTGTGTGTTTATGCACAGTGTGTAGTGTGTGTGCATGAGTGTATGTACAGTGAGTTTGTCTATCAACCTAAGTGGCCTCTCATGTGAGTGTTACCTCTCTGCCTCCCACACAGGCAGTCATCAGTGCAGCCAGCAGGGGGGCTCTGCCAGGCAGCCAGTCAGTTAATGAGGGAGTGTTGAGTGCTTTTTATGACACTGAATGAACACACACACACACACACACACACACACACACACACACACACACACACACACACACACACAAAAGCAGGATTTCATCAAATAAGCCAGATGATTATAAAAAAATTAAGATACACCTAAAGAGAAAACTTGATATACAAAAAAAAAAAAAAAAGTAAGAAACAACAACAACAAAAACGGTTCTAACTGCACTATCAAGGATTTTCAGGCCTTTACTGGTCTATACAGGATATTGTGACCTTGTGATTTGAAACTTTGTATACTTGTAGTATGGACACCAAACTTTGAAACGTTGCTTGTTGTAAATGCAGAAAAAGATGACCTCCTTTTAATGTTAACTGAACTATACAGGATAAAGTATTTTTGTGGATTGATCAACCTTTCCATTATTATGCCTTTAGTTACATATTTCAAACAAATCTGTGTATACTTGGTTTAGAAACGGAGTGATTGCCTGAAGGAAAGTTTCAAAAGTTTCTTGGCTTTGTATCAAAGCAGGAAGTTGAGCTGATTTCAGCTGATTTTGTGTCCACAGCAGCAGCACAGGCATCTTTAACACTTCCTCACAATCCACTTCTCTGTCCATTCTCTGCCTTTATTGCTTGTTACACTAAATAGACTCTCAAACATGGACTTCTTTGTCTTTTCATACCACCATTCCCCCGTCCTCTATGGTCCTAAACAATCCCTAACTGTGGCTCTGCATTATTTCACTACCATTTAAAGACATTTACAATTTACCCTGAATCTGCCTCTGTGCCTCAAATCTGAGCTTCCCTTTTTACGGCAAATCAATGAGCTCCTCTTTTTGTGCCATCTTTTAAATGTGCTGTCTGTTGTAGATTTGAACACCAATAAACCTCAAATTTACGTCCCTGCCTCAGTGAAATGACCATGACGGCCTGTGAGCACGCTGAAGATCAGCTGCAGCCTCAGTGTCACACCAGCGCTGTTCTTAGTGGTCATGTTTCTCAAAATCAAGACCACATTTCCCATAAAACTTCATAGCTTCCTGTCTTCAGCTTACTTCCTCTGGCTCAGGAAAAACATGTCAGATATGAGTTCACCAGATTCTTGACTTTCACCATCTGAGGCTGAGGAGGCGAACTTTAGACTTTTTCTTTATTTCAAAATCCAAACAGATAGTTTATCCTAAAGCTATGTTCCCATCCTTGTCGAAGTGAAAGAAAATATGCTCTGTAAAGGGACTTGATCTACTTTTTTTCAGATCAACATTCACTACACTAAACTAAACCTAAATCTTACCCCTCAAGCAGATGTAGCTTCATACGCATGACAGCATACATGCATTTCTGTGTGTGTGTGTGTGTGAGTGTGTGCGTGTGTGTGTGTATTAATTAGATTTATGATATTCATTACAAAACCTTGTAATGAGATGCAGGCAGGCAGTCTGGCAATAAAACCACAAGACACTCTGTACCATCAGATCATCATCCTCATCATCTCTCTCATTCTCACACACACACACACACACACACACACACACACACACACACACACACACACACACACACACACACACACACACACACACACACACACACAGTGGCACTTTACTGCTGTTCCATGTGCCAACTGTGCATAGTAAGAGTCCTGGGAATGACCTCAGTTTAACTGCTGCTGCTGCAGAGAGAGAGAGTGTGTGCAGAATATAAAGAGAGTCTGACAGACGCAGTGGAATCAGCACACATTAAAAATATAAAAATATCATCTGGAGGATAAAGGCAGACACTGTAAAAATACACAAATGATACATAACTCTTATCCTCCGGAGGTCTAAACCTGACAGACTCAATTTAGGACTTTAATATTAGGCTGTATTGGGACAAAGGAAAAAGTGCCTAGAAAGTGAATTTCGTTCAACTACGCTGGTTCTACTTGTTCGATGCATTTTTGCATAGACAATACCCTTCTGGACTTTGGGTTAAAATATCTACTCAGACTATCTGTCCAACTTTTGTCACCAGCCAGAAATGTACATATACAGTACAGGCCAAAAGTTTGGACACACCTTCTCATTCAATGTCTTTTCTTTATTTTTTTATATGACTATTTACATTGTAGAATATCACTGAAGGAATTAAAACTATGAATGAACACATGTAGAATTTTGTACTTATGTTTTCGGTTATTTCACACTTTTTTTATGTTTTATATTCTAGTTTCTTTAAAATAGCCACCCTTTGCTCTTGATGACAGAAGTACCTTGTCAGGGTTACTTCAGGCACTCCTGTGAAGTAAAAACCATTTCAGGTGACGACCTCATGAAGCTCATTGAGAGAACAGCTAAAGTTCTTAAGCACATGATTCCACATGTGTTCATTCATAGTTTTGAGAATCTACAATTTAAATAGTAATGAAAACAAAGAAAATGCATTGAATGAGAAGGTGTGTCCAAACTTTTGGTCTGTACTGTATGTGAGTAACACAAAAACGATTATATGGTGCTGCTGTTTTTGCTTGTAGAAACTGCTATGTTGATTCTGGCAAGACAAAATCTTTCTCAGATGTCATAAATACATCTACCTAACATCTGAAACAGTTATTGGTGCCTTAGTATACACATAAGTGAATTCAGATTATGAAATGTAGCAACTGTCTTGAAGAAAACGTCTCAACTCAAGTGATTTGCACCCAGCACAACGAAATATATACAGTAAATTAAGCTAAAAGCTTGTGTTTCATACATAAAAATGACACAACCTACTGTGTAATAAAAGCAATAAAATATAAACAGCACACCATGGCCATAAATGGCTGAAAGTCAATCAAATTGCTACCACGCCCCCCAAAATTGGAATAATGGAAAAAATGTAACAAGACAAAAATAAATGCACACGTGGATGTGGATGCAACGGCGATGCTGGCTGAAGGGTTTGACTGACCCGTGGCTGCATCACGTTCTTGTTTCTTTTCGGCCAAAATCAAACCCCTTTCACAAATAAATTGCTGGTAGCATGTCATGTGAAACCCAGCGTCATCAGGAACATTGTCAAAGTCGATATCAACGCAAAGTTTATAAGTTTCTGCAAGGTCCTTTGTTTCACCCTGTAGAGCCACTTTCTAATATTAGTTCTGTACGTGTCCTTGTAAAGTTGAGAACGTCTTCACTCTGGACAGATGATAGATGCATACATCATCGTTTCGCTCCTTTTTTTATGCACTTTTGAAGGCTGTTTTCTTTTTTCCTTTTCTTTTCTTTCTTTTCGCTTGTCTCGCTGCCAGATGCACTCGTCGCCATGTTTGTGTTGTTCTGACACTATGGCAACGAGACTCGGCTCCTATTGGTCCACGTAACAAAAATCGCTTCACCCCTCTGCATATTCGATTGCGAGTGTGCAAGTATCACTACGCCGCAGAAGGGAAATAGTTCGACACCGAAACACTGATTACTAAAAATCGACTGGATGACATGAGTAGATACTTTTTTTAGTACTTACTATCAATAGAGCTTTTTTATGAATCACAGTTTCTGTTGCCCCACTGAAGTGGAACGAACCAACACGATCTCATTTAGCCAATACAGCCTATATGCAGCATTTTTTTAATAAACAGACATGAACAGAAACAACACCGCTCAAGACCTTTATTTCCGACATGATAACCAATAATAAAAGTTGGGAGCATTTTTACTTATTTTCATGATTTATTTATGTTTATGAATATATGAATATGTTATCTGCACAGGAGCAGATCCTCCTCCAGAGAGGAGGCCACAGCACAAACTGGACAAACTTCAAACATATGCTTTTTCGTATTTAGTGAGAGGCTGCATCTAATGAGCCAGACAGAAAAAGAAGATGGCGAAGAAGAAGAGGAGAGCAGTAGTTGTTGTTAAAGAATTTGAATTGATAGTTAAAAATTTTCCTTATAAAAACCGACAAACAGAGCATCAAACTTGTGGATCGCAGCAGCTGCTTGTCCTCAAAGGTCACCATGGCTGACGGATACAAATCATAAATAGTAAAACTGTGTTTGTGTCATTTTTCGTAGGATCTTAGGACATTGAAATCCTGTATTTGTTATGTCATAATATAAGGCTGGACGATTTGGCAAAAAAAAAAAAAAAAAAAAAACCACTGTATATTTTGTCATATTGTCCAATCTCGATTATTATCACTAAACTGTGACTGCTAAACTGTAACTATAACTGTGAATGCTACTTGTGCTGTCAGCAGTGCCTGGCTATGCAGACTTCGCTTGCATTTTCATGCTTTCTGCATAATCACTCACAAAGTACTTCTTCAAATGATTAAACAGATCTGTTGTGTTGCCAGTTTTTGAGGGCACCGACCGCTGACATACCTTGCAGATTGACTTAATTGCTCAACTTTAGAGACACCAGAACCACCGCTACACAACCGACGTTGAGTAACTTTTCTTCTCAACAATGGCATTTTCAGAGGATGACTCAAAGTCATGGCTGACATCTATTTAGCTGCCCTCAGCTCCACATTTAGCTCCACGTTAGGTCATTCTGTTTACTTTCCCTGTTCACTTCTCCGGCAACTTACAGAAGTGAGCAGGAAAAGCTTGACTCTGATTGGCTGTTGTCACACACATTTCCGCTTTGTTTGATGGCGAAATGAGTTCACTGCTGATCACCATGATCGAACTGAAATTTATCATTAATCTTGATCTCATACATGCCCAGTCCTATCATAATATATACTGCAGTCTGAGTGTTCATCTAGAATCTGTCCCTCAATCTCCACTTCTACATGTTGAACCTTGATGGGTTTGCTGGAGTCTGTGAGGGCAGCAGTGTCATGTGTATTGTACAACAGTCAATTCTATGTATTTAGAGTCTAATAAACTGTTATTGTGGATCAATCATAGTAAATGAGAATGTTTCAGTCACATGACTGACACTGCGTGCCCTACAATGTGATTACTGCACATGCACATAATGCAGATGTGATGGTCTGGCAGTGTGTTGTTCAGTGGTGCCCCACAGAGAGTTCCCTGGCACAGAGGGAGTTTTACAATAAGCTTTTTGCTCTGAAATATTTCTTCATAATTTTAGAAATGCATTTCAGAAAGACACTCTGCAGCCTCTCGGTGGGTCCTGTACTTTTGTTTTATCTGTAGCTAAAGATGAAACGCCCTGAGGCTGGAAAGAAGAAAAGAGACCGGAACTTCAAGCTCTGAAATGAATTTACACTGTATTAATATCTGATAATATTTGAACGGAGAGACTAACAGTCTGTGGTCTAACTCGCCTCCAGATAGGCCTCAGAGATCAGTAGACCTGGCAGCTTTAAGCAGCAGATGGAGGAGGAGCCGAGTTTGGACACTATCTTCAATATTGTTTTTAACACCTTTTCACAAAAAAGAACATTATAAAAATCCACACTTTTCAAGCCAGGAGAAATGTGTCATAGTCAAAAGCTTTAAAATGAGGACAGACTGGACATCTGTGAGTGTGAGATCTGTGAGAGAGTGATGAAGAGGAGTGTTGGACTAGCTCGAAATAAAAAAGGTTATTTAAATGGGACACACACACACACAAACACTATGGTGCAGGACACAACGCACATATGCACACTAGTCTGATTATTTCATAAAAGCTCCACATGTGTTTTTTTCTTAGCTTTGTATTACTTTAAGGTGCATTTGTCACCCGTTTATATACACCCTTACTTAGAGCTCAGCTCAGTCACTTTTGACACCAAAGCTTAAGATCAGGGTTCAAACCAAAATGAACTCCAATAACCCCTCTTTTCCTATCAAGCTCTGCCAAAGTGTAGGTGTAGTGCGTTCAGATACTTTGACTATCCATTTCCTATTTATCTCTGTGTAGTATCAGAGGCCCACACTTTGATAAGTTTTACAGAAAGCCTGGAGAGGATTGAGACAATTGATTGACAGGAAACAAAGCAGGGATGAATACCTTACGGCAAAATATACCAGTCAGTGCCTGAAGCAGAGAGAGATACATATGATCTTATACACTGTATAGATGAACACTATACAGCCAGAAAAACACTCTATAAAGAACACCTTAAGTTATTTCATGTTTTAATCAGTACTTGCCAACATGTGACTCAATATGATTAGCTATGTATTCCATATGTACAGTATATGTAATTGTAGGGATGTAGTTTTACATATATTTATACATATCTTAAGGTAAATATGAAATTTAGGGAATATATGTGGGTATTTCTAGTTACATCTTAGGTATTTTTTAGGTATATTTATAAAAAATTTGGGGTGTACGTGTACTTCTAGGAATATTTATAGGTATTTTTAAGGATACTCATATGTAGTTTAAGATTTATTCATGGTACTTTGTTGTCTATTCATATATAGTTTTATATATATTTATAAATATATTTGGGTATATATGTATTTCTAGAGATATTTGGGTATTTCGAGGTATTTTATGTGTATTTTAGGACAGTGTCTATATTTAGGTACATATGCATATCTAGGGATATTTATGAAGGTATGCATGTACTTTAAGGGATATTTATAGGTATTGTTTAGAATATTTATATGCAGATTGGCATTTTATGGATATATATGTATCTATGTATATTTATAGGTATTTTTCAAGTTTTATTTGTATATATTTTAGACATATTTATAGGTATATGGTTTCTATTTCTTGAACCCCATTTCTTGGATATTTCTTTGTGTTTTTAGGTCAATTTATCTGTATTTTCAGGTATTTTTATGTATTGTATATTCAATTTCAAAAACATGTTACACCTTAACTTTCTGCCCCTGCTACTGACATATATCTTCATTCTTAAACATCATATGCATTCATTTGTGGGGCAGCTGTGGCTCAGTTGGTAGAGTTGGTTGTCTGTCTCTCAGGAGGTTGGGGGTCAAAATCCAAAGCTGTCCTTGTGCTGAAGTGGCCTTGGGCAAGACACTTGACCCTGTATGTCCCTGCTGGCTGTGCCCAGTTGTCTCTTTGGAAAGAAGCATCTGATAAATGACATTGCATTTGTGTTTTTTTTTTTTCAGTTTGTTATTTTATAAATAAAACCTTGGTGTCATAAATTATTAAGAGAAAATAAACGCTTACGTACAGGCATTGTGTGTGTGCACCCTGGTACAAATCCAGAGCACACACACACACACACACACACACACTCACACACACACACACACACACACACACACACACACACACACACACACTCATAAAGTGGTGTGCCCAGAGGGAAGTGAATGTGTGGTTCACATAAGGGGAGAGTACGTCTGAAAGTGAACTTAGGTTCAACTTTTGCAGGGCTCTCGCACACATTTCCTCCTGCTCAATTTCACCTACTTTTGCAAAATCTCTGTCACCCTCTCTCTCTCTCACTCTTACAAACACACACACACACACACACACACACACACACACACATGCACACACTCATACTTAGAAAAATTGTTTCTGTCACCCATTGATCTCTCTCTTTTAACTCTATCAGCTTCAGATGAAAACAGCCTTCGTGACTGCAGAAAAAAGTGGTCTGATCTGGACGAATGCATCAGGAGCTTTATTGTTCAAATTCTTAAATTACCAACTTCCAGTATGACCCCCTTTTCTGACAATTCTGTAACTCTGGGTAAGTCCTATCTGAGAGCTGAAGGAGTATACAGAAACTTTCCTCCTTCTTCTGATCCTTTTTCTCAGCTGACCTTGAAGAAAGTGCCCAGAAAGAGAAAATGACAGCTCCTTTTAGGACGACACAACCTGACATCAGCTTTTTCTGTGTTTAGCCTTTTTTTACACATTCAAACGGAGTCTGGGGTCACCAAAAATGGAGGTTTAACAAAAACAACTTCCAAAGGTGGTGTCCAAAAAAATGTGTGTAGGTACCAGATGTGTTCGGACTGCCAGATCAGATCAGGCCCAGCACCTGTTGACGACATCACACTACATTTAATAAGTCAAATGTGCTCAGTTAGAAGCCCCTCGTGTTGTTTTTTATATTTCCGGGTTTTTTTTTCGATTCACCTCGAAATTTTCTCCCCATAATTCTTAGATGGCTTTAATTGTATATGTTAACATTTCTAAAGGAGAAAAGAAAAAAATATGTTTGCAGGATCTATGTTTATCAATAGATAGTTTTGCTTTTATTCCACATTTCCTTTGACAACCTAAAAGAGGCTGTTGTAATTCCCCTTTGATAAGTAGCAATAGATTGCTTCATAAAATCCCTCCATATTTTCTCCAAAGAACTGCAATCCCATGAAACCTAATCCATCAAAAACCGCATCCCTAATGCATGGACCAACCACAATCTTCAACATCATCCGAACCAACTTCCAGCCAATCATATAGCATGACGTCATCAATAGGCGCCAGGCCCCAAGCCCATCTGGTTGCCCGAACACATCTGGTATCTACATCCTGCAACAATTGATATTTTAAAAGACAGTGATGTGCAGAGGGCAAAGATTACATCCTGCTTCAAAGTCATTTTTCTTCTCTTTACTCTGTGATGCTCACTATTTATGTGGCCATTATCTGGACGATTGTATGGACAGGAAAACCTCCAATCTTAAACCTGCATCTGCATGGACTAAACCTGAAAATTATTTTATATATTTTGGTTGAGTAGCCAGTACTGCATGGCCATTTCCTTCACTTACTCATTGGTTTATCCATTCAACCATTAACTGTGTTATAGCGGCAGACCAAGTTAGTCATGTTAACATCTCTGTAACCAAACCAGATAAAACCGTATGATCCTTTTACAAACTCAGTGTTTATCTTGATTCAATGTCAGTATCTCTAATGGTTATGCTTTGCCTGTGGACTCGAGAAACTATGCCTCAAAGACTCTCAGTAGTTTCCTAAATAGAATCAGACAGCTTCTTTTTTTTGTCCTTCTTCTTACTCAGCTGATGAATATTCTCCAGTGAACATAAAATGTGGTTGTCACGCTAAATGGAAACAAAGTCAGCACAGGCTCATAAATAGGAGAGTCAGTACAAAAGCAGAGCGCAGGATCATCAGTACCCTTTGGGCTCGCCTCACACACACACACACACACCACACACACACACACACACACACACACACACACACACACACACACACACAGATGCAGTAATAAGCAGCACATTGATATAGAGAATGGCAGGAAGACAGAGAGCGTCATTATGAGTGCGTCTCCTGCCTCCATCCATTTAAAGGATCTATTAGAGGACATCGGAGAGTGAGGAGCAGCAGAGCTCTGCAGCAATGTGACAAATGGACCCGAGCAGGAGTGACTCATCAGTTCAGACAGTACAAAGAGCCTCTGATGCATCTTCGTGCAAATTTTATTTATGTTTAATTTTAGACTTTCTGTGTGTGTGTGTGTGTGTGTGTGTGTGTGTGTGTGTGTGTGTGTGTGTGTGTGTGTGTGTGTGTGGTGGGCTATAACAGTATGTGTAATGAGCTGACAGAGCTCAGTGATTTCCTGTCTGGCCTGTAAAAGCAGCACGAGTCTCTTCCTGTATCCTCCTTTGTAAGATCCCACCTGGGGCCGAAAACGAACACACACACACACACACACACACACACACGAGCATCACACACGCTGTCTGGCAGCTGTTTGTAATAATAATCAACAGGAGGAGAGGTTCCCCGTATCCCAGCCTCAGCATCTCTTCCTCAGTGTGCCACAGTGTTCAGACGGCCCTCAGTGGGCGCCGGGCGTCAATCTGACCTTCTCAGCTCTCAGCCCACACACCTCAGATCCACGGCCCAGCTTCAAGCCCACACATTGAATATCAAGAGTGTTAGAAAGCAGAAGATTCAGTCCATCTGCAGACTGCTCTCACCAATACAGCAGCTCACTTAGTGGTCCAACATTTCCAAATCTAATGCCGCTGGCACTCGTCTAGCTTCATGTCTGTGTGCTTACTGATCTGATGCACCACTGAACTCTGGGTAAACAGCAGCAAGAGTTAGTGATTTCCAGCCGAAAGGCACCACCATCGAACAGCTCATGATGTCTGCTGCAAACTGGAGCTCCAAACTGATGTGTTGCATTAAGAAGTCAGAGACAGTCCCTGCTGCTGGTGTTAGAGACACTCTGACCTCTTCATGATGTTTTTGTGCATAAACACTGCAGTGTGACCGCTTTGAAGTCTGTGAACAAAGTGTGTCTGCAGGCTGCAGAAACACTTTCATCAGTCTGAGGGGAATTTAGTCTGCAGCTCGATGATATCGCAACCACATTCCTGACAGAGCCAACGAGCGGAGGCAAAACAGGAGAACACAGCTGTGTTTATTATCTGAACAAACACGCACAAATACACACCTACACTCACACAGGTGTAATCTTACCTCTAGTGTTGGTGGCCATGTCTGCCACCTTCTGAAAGGCATCCAGGAAGGCCACAGCGGCCAGCACAGTGGTCCTGTTGAGCAAGAGGAGACCCATTAGGTTAAATGCAGAGTTCAGTGCTCAGGGTTTCTTCTTCTCCCCAGTTTATTCATTCAGTGAGCAGGTTTTACACTGCTGCTGGCAGCTGGCTGATAAGTTTTGGTTCCTTTTTGGTAACATCAGAAACTCTAAAGACATGTAAAGGGTAAACGGATAGGAAGGAATGAGGGTAGGTACATCGAAGCTACATAGCTTTAACCTACTTATTTTCGATCTCCAAAAAAATAGAGAATTCCTTGTCTAAAATTGGACCTTATGTATATTTGATCGAATAAACAATCTCAATCTCAAGTTTGGCAGAGGTGGATTTTATCAAAAGGTACTGCACTGAGTTGATTTTACTGTTTTTATTCACCTTGGGGCTGTTAGACGCAGTAATCACAAACCAGGACATGGGTATCGATCGTGTATACAAGAAGATGAATACACGATGAATAACAAGGCAAAACCAGGATCAGAACCAGTATACCCCAAATCATGTCTGAAGAGTACATGTTCTTCCTGCATTACTCTTTATCACAGCAGAGCATCACATAGTCCACACTTTGGTTATTCTGAAGACGAATACAATCAAACTGTGAAGAGTTCATGTTGTATGTTTGTACATTTGTTTTGTTCTGTGCTGTCTCTGTCAGGAAACTTACCGAAGCTGGGAATGCAGCTTAGTGGCCTTGGCGCTGAAGTCCTCCCACACAGGATAGGAGCACTGGGAACACAAACACAACAGTGTACGTTAATACTGAGAGATATTACACACAGTGAAGTAAAGCATTGACAGTTCAGGCTGTAACATTTGGAATAAAAATCATGAAAAAAAAAAAAGAATGAAATGGGGGTGTAAAAATCCCCCCCCCCACAAACACACACACACACACACACACACACACACACACACACACACACACACACACAGAGTTGTGTGATTAAAAATTATTAAACTTGAGTTTTTACTGTGCTCAGCCCCAGCTCCTCTCTCCTTCTGTTCTATTGTCTGCATGCTGAAACCAGGAAGTTATTGTTGTGAATGCAAACTCAAGCTGAAGTATGAAACCTTCAAAACAACAAACCATGACCAGAGGAGAGCCTGGTGGAGGGAGATGAAGAAAGAGACAGATGGACAGAGGAGAGACTGATGCAGCTGAAAAGCAGACAGGTCCTCAGCTAAATGGTCTGCAGCAGTGATCCAAAGGAACCTAAAGCATGATGGAGCTCAGGGACTCCCAGAAAAGACCGAGTATTAGTGACTTTAATGATGATTTAAAGTTAAAGACAGAAAAAATATGGAGAGAGAGGAAAATATGCTCCATGAGTCAGTATCTCCTGCACCCTAAACCTACTGTATGTGATGATGCAAAGGACCTCACTCTTTGTCCTGATTTTGAATGTTGTTCTGTTTGTTATGATATGATTTCACTGAGAAGCCAAGACAGTTTTCCACATTGTAGACAATGAGGTGCACTCACCACTCCTTTATACCTGTGCCTCGATGCCCCCAAACTAAAAGAGTCAGTTGTTAAGAGTAGGTGATAATCTTTCTTTCATTGACCCTTTTTATTATCCAAATGTGTCAGCGTTTCAAACATAAACTTTGCACGTCTCTCTTTGTCCTCCTCTGTAGGTTTTCATCTTTTCCAGCTGCTGTCATGAACCCTTTCTACAAACCTCACCCACACACCGTTCATACCCGACACCTCCTTCATCTCACTTTTCAACCTCCCCCTTTATCCCTTAAAAAGCAGCAGCACCCCCTCTCCTTCTGATGAAGCTATCTACCAGAACACACACACACACACACACACACACACACACACACACACACACACACACACACACACACACACAGCCGCTGGCATCACACAGCATCAAAGGGTTTGACTGGAGCAGATCTGAACCTCTGATGGATGCTGCTCCCCATAATCCACCTTAAAACTGACTGCCCTATAACATACACACACATGGACAGCCTCACATTACATTACACCTGATCCAGGTTGACCTTTGACCCTCTTACATGCATTGAAATTATACACACAGAGGTGTGAAGTCAAACATCATGACGGTAAACGTTAACATGAGGCTGTAGGCACTAAAGACGAACTATAGGAAACACACAGAGGGTGATCAATGTGGTAACTAAGAGCCAGGAGAGAAGTGTGTGTGTGTGTGTGTGTGTGTGTGTGTGTGTGTGTGTGTGTGTAGGGGGCGGAGCTTCCTGCAGTGATGTCAGACTGGCACAGACAGTGAGGGCTGTGCTCTCTTTGATCTACTCTGTTTGATGTGCTTTAATTTGGTCTGAAATCACAGTCCCATTTCCCCCTGGTACAGAGAGCTACCCCCTCCACACACACACACACACACACACACACACACACACCCTACCCTCTTCTTTTGCAGGCTGTTTGAAGTGCCCCATGCAGCTTAAGTAGTGTGGATAGGAGATAACGCAAAGTGCAACCCTCCTCCCTTTACACACACACACTCTCTCTCTCTCTCTTTCTCTCTCTCTCACACACACATGCTCATAAAAATATATGAGCAGCCCAGCCTCTCATTAGCATATTTCAGGCATTTCAATCCTGTAAAGGCGCTGGTGGCAAGTGACCAAGTGATGATCAAGCGTGTAAGTGTGTGTATGTGTGTATGGGTGAAAATGCAGGATGTTCACACACTCTGTGTGTGTTAGCACACTGTTGATGATTACCTTAAGCGTCTCTAACATGCAGGACTACTTGAAACATTTTAAACTTTGACCAAACTCACTTTGATATGAGAGAGAAAAAGCGCAGGACCATGAACATGTGTGTCATATATATTACAGTATTATACCTTTAAAGGGATGAAAAAAAAATCATGTCATTTTGATATTCCTTATCTGCTGATACCAAGTCCTGATCTGGTACTTGTGTTTATCTAGATAATAAAGCTGCTGATTAGGCTGCGGTTAGAACTTTCAGTTTCTTTATATGTCGGTTTGGCACCACAATAAAGATGCAAAGGTCAAACTGCACATTTGAACACAGCCTGATCAAACAGCTGTATATCTGTTTTTTTTACCCTGTTTCCCCTCCAATCTTATATGACCTCTGACCTTCTTTATACAGTCAGAGAAGTAACTTAATCACCCCCAGGTTTATGAAATCATTCAATTAAATTGTAATAATGGATTGTAGGTAACTTGCCTTATGGGGAACATTTTTGGACCTTGAATTCCCACTCTGATCATATTTGTTTAACTATTTAAATTGTTAGCCAAAATTATGTTACATAAGTCATTTTCAAGGTCTTTTCTTCTTATTAGCAATTTGCCTCGAAGTCGTGGGCAGAGACAGTGCTGCTCTGCACACTCCTCTTTACGCTAGCTTGCAGCCTCACATTGCTGTTGTAGAAGAAGTGGCGGGTAATACAGGAGCTATTCAGCTCTTGGACACTAATGTCTTTGGGGACACAATGAAAGTTAATATCATAATTTGCTCTCTTACAGGCATTGCAACCCTCTACTGCAAACACTTGTTCCACGAATATCCTCTCTACTTCTACGATACTGGCCCATCAGTACATCAGTCTGGTTCTGCTCAAGGTTTCTGCAGTTTAAAGGAAGTTCTTCCTCTCCACTGTATCTTGAAAAACGCTGTCAAGGTTTTCACTCATGAGGTTAGAGATGGGATGGGAGTGGGTCTCAGTCTGATCCTATTTTTACATCAGGAGTATGAGTCTGGAGTCTGGTCTAGACCAGCTTTTCTTTGTTAAGTATCTTTGGATAACACTTGTTTTGAACTGGCACAGATTGATTGATTGATTGATTAAAACAGAACTGGAGTTGTCAGTAGTGCTTTAAGCTCTGACAAAGTGTTTATGACAGCAAAACTACCGCAGTCAAAGTGTTCCTCACAGTTTTTATATTTGTTTTTTGTCTCTCTTTTATCGGAGGGAAGAAAAGCTGTTGATTACTAATGTCACTGTGAAGTCCTAAAAAACTGGGTTTCTTATTGGTCCTCCTGCTCCACTCTGTGAACAGTGACGCAGCAAAATCCTAGTATAACACTCATTGATAGTCATTTAGGGTCTTCTGCATAGATGATTGTGCTTTACGGAGGGGTTAAAGAAGAGCTTGTCTCTCAAACTCATACATTGAAAAGGTCACAAAGCTCTCAGTCTGTGAGGTACATGCTGCAGATAAAAATGTGCCTGGGTGTTTCTAGCAGAGAGCTGAAAGAGAACAGTAACCTCTTAGTGGGTACATCATGATGGCCGAGGGGCAGAAACGTCAGAGAGTGAACGACTGAGAAGAGACAGAGAGTGAGTGAGAATGCTTTCTGACTGTGCACCATTACATCACCACTTCCTGTGTCACTGAAGACACATACAAGTTCACAAACATTAACACACACATACACGCAATAATGCTGCAGCTCTGTAAACACAAGTTAAGAAGAAAATCACTCTTCCCTCTCGGAGTTGTCAGCCACATTCATCCATCCTAAACTTTGAGCCAAAACAAGGGAAACTCCAAACACTGTACAAGTTACCTTGATACCTTTCCTTTTCTACTTCCTGTACACCCTCCCTTTCTTCCTCTGTGTTCAAAATAAATCAATAGAGTTGGTATAACAGTTATCTTTTTAAAACAATGATGGGGGTCATGTAATGCAAAAAAAAAAAAAAAGGCTGGGACAAGGAATTAAAAGTTTTAAGTTGCAGTGTTGATTAAAAAAAAGGTTCAGAATGAAGTAACTAACCAAAGCTGCAACATTACGAGAAAGAAAAACAATGGATAGGTACAAGAGTGCAGTTCCTTGTCTGTCCACTTGCACCTGTCATGCAAATTTTCTACAGCAGCTTGAAATGTCCAGTTTGGAAATGATGGGATTTCTAGACCGAAGCACTCTTCTGCTCACTCCTGTCATAAAGGGACAGTAGCTTTGAGAATAACAATATCTTAAGATTTGGAAGATAAAGTCATAGGGCTCTATTTTCGTGCCTCACTGGAGATGTGCCGCAAGTGCGGCGTAAGTCAGGTCCGCCGCACCGACAAGGCGTTCTCAAGCGCAATTTGGTATTTTGGCCAATAACATCAGCTCCTCTCCTCACCTTTAAATCCGCCACTGGCGAGGCTTATTTTTGTGAAGTAGTCAAAGAGATCAAGAGATGTCTGAAGACAGTAATGCCACACGATGGGGACAGGAGGCAGCTCCTCAACAAGTGTCACTGTAAACGCTGCAGAGGGCGTCCTTCACACTCTCTCATATAAGCACAGATGGATTTGGTGTGTGTAATGTTGGACCCACTAGTAAGACAAACACCCTTTTCCACAAATAAGACACTCACATAAAGTTGCATATATTCAAACCTCACGTAACAAAGGTGGGTTGTGCGCACAGATCACAACATAAACTCCGTGGCCTGGCTCTTTCTTTCATAGATGTTGGCATATAAAATAAATTTGGCTCACAAAACTGATTATAATATTGTATGTAGGCTTAAAGTAAATAACTCATCTGAGCACTGAAACAAATCATCTGTTCAGCCGCCGCAGCAGCAGCTGCAGCAGGATGGGGAGGAGGATACGGAGACTTGTCCAGGTCGAGCTGCGCGAGAAATAAGAGGAAGAGGAAGAAAGAAAAGGAGGGAGACGAATTACATATCTTGTTAACTTCATCATGTGTGTTTATATACTAGATATTTAATTTAATTTGATGCGGTTTCAGCTGTGTCAAAGTCTACCAGTCTACCAAAATACCTCTAGACCAGTTGCGCTCTGCCTGCGCTGAAAGGTGACCAGGTTTGAATCGGCAAGCTTTTTAGCGCACTTTATACGCCACTGGCGAGCACGAAAATGTCACTGCGCCAGCTGATTCTGTCGACACCTCCCCCTGCCGCGCATCCATGCCCAGCTTGGCGGACCTCAGTGCACCTCAGTCCACGAAAATACCAAACTGGCTGTACACCGGGCTCCGCCAGACGAAAATACCACTGCGCGGGGTCCGCCACCCTCAGCAACGGACACTAAAATAGAGCCCATAAAGTTATGAGCAAAAATTTACAACATAATAGTATGAACTTAGCTGTCAAAAGTCAAAAGTGGACATTTGTTTCATTTGTGCTTCCTGAATGTGGCTTTTATTCTTTTTTTTCATCCTGTTTAAAAACGAGTGAAACTTTTCTTCCTCTTCTACTACTTTTCCAATAATAATTAGCCATCATCCCTGATTAACTATTTTCTTCCTTACTTCCTCTCCCATCCCTCTCAGTCATCCTTCATACAGTCCTGACTCTAGTCTCTGCTGTCACCAGTCCTCTGTCCCAGTTCTCAGAGCTCCACCAGTCCTCCCAGTATGTCCTCCCAGTATGTCCACTGAGGGCTGCTCTCCAGCTCTCACTGCAGAGGATGAGTAGCTTACTGTCTCTTTTGTTCCCTTTGTTTCCCCGCAGTAAGACAGAAAAACAGAGGAAATCCAGCAGGAGAGACGGAGGGGGGGTGAGCGGGCCGAGGCAGGAGGGAGGGATGTGAGGATTAGCCCAATTTTTTTGTTGTATAATCGAGCCAATTCACACGTTAAAAGAGAAATGCAAGGAGCAAACAAAAGAGGCTAATTTCACAGAGCGCTAAGTGCATAACCGTCAGGCCGAGAGCTTATAGAGAGGATCAGAGTCATTTCTATCAACTCTGAGGATGTATAACCCAGAGAGAGAAACTGATCATCTGTCTGCACCTCATAGGCCATGTACAGAGTCTGCTGTGTTAGCGATGGAGATCATTCATTTTTTCAAACTGATCAAAATAAACCATCCCATCATACTCATACTGAGACTCATTCATAACAGTACAGATCTTTAAGTCTTTCCTCTTCTTGTTAAATTTTTATATTTATACTGATTTTTCTCTTTTCTTTTGGGGCATTTACCTTTTAAACAAATCATTATAACATTTACCCATGCCTAATTCTAGTTTTACTGACCCAACCATTAACACCTCACAATGCAACCATTAAGTTAGTTGGCTAAATAGCTTTTATCTTTCTGAATTTAACTTAGATTACAACACCGGATTCAACACTGGTTATAATTTTTAAGTGTATCACATCATTATGATTGATGCTGTGCATCCTGGTTTCCTAGATCCTGCAGATCCAATGACTTAGTTTCACTTTCAAGAGAAAAGAAACTGACAGGAGTGGCCTGACTGTATGACTGATGAGAAGCAGCAGATTACTCCAAACAGGAAAAACAAAACATCTGTGAGCCGTTCAGAGTCTGAGCGAGAGGACGGAGATCAGTGATTCAGCATCAGGGAAACATCTGCTGAGCAATACACTCTAATGTCATGCAATATGACAGAGTAAGTCATTAATGCACTAATATGATGAGGGACCGAGTCTCTAGATTACTGCAGGGACATGGAGAAGCCAGACCAAGAGGAGAGGATAAGGCAGCCCATTACAGACAGGGACAACTATATGGATTTTTAAAGTTTATCTTGAACGTACATGCCTTTATTCAAATGATAGAAAAGTGAGCAGATGCAACTTGCTAAAAAAACTGTACCCTGTGTCCTCCAAAAGCACAAGTTTTATTCATAGACTGTATATACTATGAACAACTCTGCTCCACCTTCCATCAGTATACGAATTTGAAGCCGAATTGCTCTCAGTACTTCCGGAATTTTCTCCACTTCCTGGAACCACCACTTGCGCAGTTGCGTTGTACGCATTTGGCGGGAGTCACTGTGATGCTTGGCTCAAACAGCATATCCCCAAGGTGAGCTACGCAAGCTTCGTATGCCCATAGGCTGTATCAAGTGTCAATCATAGAAAACATGAACCCCCTAATAACTTTTAAAAATGGAGCTGCACAGAAAAAAAAGGACTTGAGCACAAACCAGTCAGCCCTGACATGTAGTTACTGTCTTACAGTAACTACATGTCAACATCGCAACCGGGGGGAAAAAAAATTATATTCTGTATAATAAATTTCTTAAGTTTGTCCACAACTCCATAGGAATTGCTAAAGGGGTGGTGGGGGATTTATGACCTATACTGCAGCCCATCAAAAGAGAATACTGTTCTTGCAAAGGCTTTACCCAGCAGGGAGGCAGACAGCATCAATTCTATATACAGTCTATGGTTTTATTTCTGACCAAGAACAGAAAAAAACACTTTTGCTGCTTTTTAACAGTCAAATATACCACTCAACCTGACAAATGCATCCCTTTGATTTTTTTTAGAAAATTTTACATCAATCTGACAACATTTCCAAGAAGAGAAGGAGTCAAAATCATCTTTTAGCTTTTTCTATCAACATGTTATTGGACATATCAAATGACATACAAACATATGGACATATCAAATGACATACAAATGAGCTAAACAGACCCTGCTGTAAGGTACAAAAACTATATTCCTGCACTGATGGGTGACCTAAACTTGATCATCACCATCCCCTCACATTCAAAATCTCTCTATATTCCTTAAAAGCTTGGTGCAAGCTGGGTCAGGTAGAAAGAGTTCAAAGAACTGAACACAGATCTTTACCGATGAACTCTGACCTTCTAGGAGCTGTCTGGGGCCTTTCTTTCAGCTTACTGCAGAGTGAAACATTTTCAGAAACCCTCTGCAGCTCAGTGGAAAAGAGGAGTCTGTTTTGATTGTATACTTGGTGAAAGTAAGAGCTGAGACAGCAGCACATGAGAAAACATCCACAACATTAATGACTGCAGTGACAACCTTTTACATCCAGTGTAATATTGAAATTTCAAATGCAGCGTCTCACATTTATAAATATAAATACTCAGTCATAAGTCATGATATAGTAGGGCTGGGCGAAATGGCCTCAAATCAATATCACGATATATTGAGCAGTTCACCTTGATAATGATAAATGGACGATAACTACTCCACAAGCTGCTCACCCCCTTCCACATTAACTTCATCTACTTCAGCCGCTACAACTGTTGAACTGTCCTCCATCTCCTCACCTGTCTTTTCCTCTTTGTTATGGACTGGATGGGGTGGAGTCATGTGATGACAAAATGATGTTGGTTATTGTTGTAAATTTTGGTATCGGGAAATTTTCAGTTTATCTCCCAGCCCTATGATATAGCGAGATTTACACAGTGAGAAGACAGCAAAGAGTCAAAAAAAAGGAAAAATGCACAATGGACAGGAGGCGAGGCCATTAACAGACTGTGTTTCCCTGCAGCCATCAGTCACTGAGGGTTTACAGATATAAAGGTGTCACTTAGCAGCCTTTCTCCTCTCCTCCACAAGGCTGAAGTCCTTCTTATGTACCATCCTCCAATCCTGTGAAAGGCTGACGATGAAGGTTCATCAGTCAGACCACTTAGTGTAAGTGCCGCCAAGCATTATGTGACCCCAGTACTTACAGAAAATGTATAAAGAGAGGAACCAGTCTTAAAGCTCCAAGAAATCCAAACACATGAGAGGGTATATGTCCTTAAACCACAGCACAGAGACACACTAATCTGATCAGTCTTTTGGCTTAAAAGGTGACGACATCAACTTCAGGGTCAAAGGAAACCATTTCTGAGAGTTACACTTTGCATCATGATGATAAACTGTCCCATTAAATAAAAACACATGAGCCATTCTTCTAACAACTAGCTTAAAGAACAGATAACAGATATTTAGTTTTCCCTGTATCCTAAACATGTGGCAGCTGTCTGTGAATTTGTCAGTTTTTTTGTTTTTTTGTTTGTTTTTGTGCTGATATGGTACCAGAGCTGTGTCAAAATCAGTCCAGTGCAGTGAAAAAGGTGCTGACTAAACTGTGACAGAAGTCAATTTCCTGTAGTTTTTACAGACTCTGGAGCTGGGCAATTAACTCAGTTTTATTTTTAATTATAATAATGGCCTCTGCTGTGTCTCACTCCTGCTGTCTTATATTAATGAAGCGCTGCACACCCTCCCTTTCTTCTTCAAAAACATTGCATGTGCTGTGCCCTCCCCTTAAACAACTCTCACTTCCACGTATCATTAGCTTGGATGTGCAACAAAGTTTGGGAGCATGAGGAGGTCATAGATTTAATTACAGAGGTGTTTGGAGAGAGGAGAGCAGGGAGAGGAGCAGGAAAAAAAAGCTGAAGAACAACATTAGCTCATTGATCACAAACGTTAATGAACTATTATCTGCCAGGCTGAACAGTTACAAAATAAAATCTAATTGTAATTCTTCATGTTGTGAAGATGCAGGCTTGAAAAGACTAAATGAGTTAGTGGATCTGCAGCCTGTGATTCGGTCTTTAAGAGGCTTACGCAGCAACATGTGAAAGTCTGCCAACTAATTTAGAGAGTATCATCGTCTAAATGAAGTCAATATCTTAAAAGGAAAGAAAAAAAAGTTGTATGGCCCCTTTATGAATATATATATATATATATATATATATATATATATAAATATATACCAAAATTCTGATTGGTTGAGTTGTTTTTTCCACATTAATTTACAGACTATGGTTAATTTCATCAGGAGGAACGTAAAAGTGCTAATGGGGGTGTTTTCAGAGCACTCGGGTTTCACAGGTAACAGCCTGTCTCAGAACACCCCCTTGTTTTCACCATTTTGGATTTGCCCAACCCACTGGAGACTGGAAGATTGAAGAGCGTCCACATTAATCTCCGTTTGATTGTTTGCTAAATTTTTATTTTTTATTTTGAGCATTTCAACTTTTATGAGAATCTTCCTCTGCCATCTGGGTCAAAGACATCAGCAGTGTGGCAGAATTTTACCAAAATAGATGAATTGCCTTTTGTGTTTAATTGCCTTCTTGTGCTGATATCAGCATATTTTCACCACCACCCCACCCCCACGCTACTGACCCTAGAGTCACCACAGTACGTTTCCTGCTCCATTAAAGAATGAACGCTCCTCTCATTTATAATTCTGATAACTCATAACTCTCTCAGATGCGAGTGCTGTTTTCAAAATCATCATCAGACTGACATGTGAATGATAATGATGATTTTACAGAGCTTCATTTTGTTCATGTCTTTTACTTCATTTCGTCATTCTCTTAAAGTAGAACTGAAGCCCCATTCATGATAAGATGATTATAGTTCAAGTATTCATAAAGACAGACTCTATTTACACTCACTCATTTCTCACTGAAGTTAGCATCAGTTTGACAAAGACTCTTTTAAGTAACCCTAACCCTTCGGTGAGATGTTCATAAAATCTGGTCAGGGATCTTCTATGTTAAAGAAACTATTATTAGAAAACAAACTTTAGAAATTAATCACACAGAATATACATTTTTCTCCCCCCAGGTTGTGATGTTGACATATAGTTACTGTGAGACTGGTTTGTGCTCAAGTTCTTTTTTTCTGTGCAGCTCCATTTTTAAAAGTTATCAGGGGGTTCATGTTTGCTATGATTGACACTTGAAACAGCCTGTGGAAGATTGCATAGGTCATCCAGGATATGCTGTTTGAGCAGAGCATCGCCAAGGGGACTCTCCCGCCGAATTCGTACAATACTACTACGCAAGTGGTGGTTCCGGGAAGTGGAGAAAATCCTGGAAATACCGAGAGCAATTAAGCTTCAAATTCATACAGTGATGAGAGGCGGAACCATGTTGTCTATTGTTTATACAGTCTATGATATGAACCTGCCGTTTGGGTATGCCAGAGGTTCACAGCGATTTGAATACAAAAATATGCAGAAATGCAACTTTGCATCTTAGTTTTCATGATACATCCTCAGAAATCCTACAGAACATCCTACATCCTACAGAAAAAAACGCCACATGAACATGTAGACAACAAAAAAAGATATGATTTTCATCAGAGTGGGTCTTTAAGATCTAAAGAGGTATTCATGACAGCTTGGAGCAACAAGCTGTAAGTAACATTAGCATAGCAGCTAATAGAGCGATAATTAACATATGCCAACATGACGAAATGGAAAGCCAAGTAGGCACTAACAGGTAGCCTATAATGTTTTTGGTCCCAGACTGCAAAGCCGTGTCAAATGCTGTGGAATAGCTGCTAAAACAAAGCATCTTAGAGCTGAACTGATGGTTTTTACAGATACCACTATAAGATAACGATAAAGTTTGAAGAGCTGCTCATCTATTTCTATTTCTATTTATTTTTAAAAATGGGAAAAGTAGAGATATTGATGAACATTTACATGTAAATATGTGGGATTATAGCCAAATGGCTCATTTCTATCCCCAGTCCCATTGGCAGGTTGATGTTAAACATAAACGCAATAATGGTAAAAGTATGAATTAAAGAATTGAGTATAACAGACTGGTTTGCTCAAGTTTCCTGACTGACAGAACAAAGTCACTTCAGTTAAAGGTCAATGGCTGCTGAACTCTAAACTTTAAAGGGAGAAAGCCATGACGATAAAGGTCAGCATGGGTCGAGTGGTAAGTTGTAAGGGCTGCCTTCCATTACCATGTCATATTTCATTGTGTCTAATCAGCTTTACTCATTAACGTTGCTGTATGCTAACTATTACAACCTGGTGCAGCAGTTTTCTTTTTCTATAAATTAATCCTTTTTTACAAATCTTCTTCCTCACTAAGATCAAACTTTCTTGGCTTTCACCTTCAGGATGACCTTGACCACTGTGTAACAGATCTATAGTTGTGTCTAATCAAAGATATAAGGGATTGTGACATGAGGCCCTGCAGGCTGCATGGCACACACAGTAAGCTGTGAGACACTGAGGCTGTCAGTGATGATAAAGAGGAGGAGCTAAACTTTTTTATGGCTGAATGCAGATGCTGCACTTGGCTCTCTGATTTTCTGCTCAGCTGTACCGTCCAGCTCAGTCTTACTGCTTCAGCTGGAGGAGTAGGAGGCCAGTGTTTACTGTCATAGAATAATAACTGATCTCTGTCTGTGTCAAAGAACTCTCACAGTGTTAAATTACATCCAAAGAAACCTTTTTACAGCCCTGATATATAGAGCACGAGGAGAGTTTTCTGCTCATTCAGGGCTTTCTTTTCTGAGATGAACAAGAGAATATTGATTTGTCCCTCTCATTGTCATTCTGTGTCCCTGGCCTGTTCATAATGATCAGTGTGTTTTACAGTCAACAGCTGAGTGTGATGAGAAGGCTTTGACAGCTCTCACAAAGGCTTCAGTGAGAGAGGCAGCCTTGGCTCTCTCCCAGCAGCTTCCACGCCTCCCACTGCCGGTCCTTCCCATTCATCAGCCCGGCCCTAACAAGCCCTGGGGCCCTAACGACCCCAGAGATTTTAACGAGCTCTAACGAGGGAGCGCTTCTTTAGGCATCCTATGATCCGGCTGGCATGTTGGCACCTTTTCCTCATGAACCAAAGTGAATGTTTTTACTCGGCTGTTTGTGAGAGGAAAAAGTTTGAAGGTCAGAATGCTTAAAAAACAAAAGCATGAATATCAATGAGGATAATTACCCTAAAGCTGGAGACACACAACCTGCCCTTAGCTCACTGACTTTGAATTACACTCTCTCTCCAAACCTGACAGCTTCACCACCTTCTCAAGCGTCCTTTAATACAACTCTGACCTTCAATGGATCAGCTCCAGATGTTCCTCAAAAGCTATGAAGTTTAGGGAAGAAACACTTAACAGGGGTTTAGCTATAATAAGAACTGATCACAATTTTCTGGCCGATCACCATTCTTTAAAAAGCTTGACTTTGGCCAATATTTTTTTTTTTGTTTTTGTTTTTTTAAACTGACGACATACACCTTCGATGTTCCAATCTTATTTTAATGAAAAACACTGAACAATACTTGTGAAACAATACAAACTTTTTGTGTTTATTTTAACTTCACATAAAATAATAATCTACAGGGCAAACTTACAACAAAACTTAAACCACCAATAAACCTTCCTAAGTTTTAGGTTTCCTTGTAGTGGGTTCAACATGCTTGGTTGATCATGCTCCAGATGACCGATGATTGTTCACTGATCCCCTAAAATTGAGGAAATTGGCCGGCCGATCGGTTGGCCAATTTATCGGTTGATGTTTACTTTATAACAAAAATGCTGCAATTAGTTTGATTACAAAGAAAGTATGGGAATGGATAGGATCACAGATACAGCTGATGATTGGCCAACAGACTAAGGCAAAGCTGGCAGCCTTTGGCATAGTACTTTGACAACAAAATGACACTATTGTGCAAAAATTGTACACTTTACTTTTGCTTTTCATGTAATAGATCTGGATAGATCTTCTCTGTAGGAAAGAGAAGCTCCTGGATGTTGTAAAAGACACAGAGTTTATCGACACAAAGCTGCTAGTCCCACAAGGTGAGTGGATTTTGCCAGAGGACCTTACAATATGTACAGTGGAAAGTTGGACTTTTCCTGGATTTCTGCTATTAATGGTAAATGAAGTGATCTCAGCAGGAAAACTTTACCAGTTTGAGTTTGATTTGTTATATCATTAAGCTAAGAATCAATCCAGCTGTTTCAATCATGTTACCAAGCACATGCACAGTTAGACCAAAGGTGTACGCTTAGTCAGACGTCTACCTGTGCACAAATCTCAGCTGTTATCAAATAATCTCGACAGCTTGGTATTTGTCTTCTTCATGCTATTTTCACAAACTTTAATAACTAACAGTTAATCAGTGTTTAGTGGAAAGTAAATCAATGTACTCCACTGTTCTGCTTCAACAGCATAATATTGTGAGCATAACAGTATGATGCTGTAGACAACAGCATTTTGGATCCATCCTGTCAAACCTTGATAAATGATAAGTGTAATGGGAGCACTACAGTCTATAACCTGATGGCTAGATATCACTAATTATCATAAAGCATTTCCACACACTACCTCTAAAAGATGCATAAAATCATAAATTCATGGGAGAAACTTCAACACTTGAGTAGACCCTAAAATCAAGTTTCTGATGACTCTTTATCTTGGTTGGTCGCATTACCAGCTGACTTCATGAGTAAATCCACACATCTCTCCTTCCAGCAGCAGATTCTGGTTCTACCTGAGTGACCAGACCATACCGGGTCAACACTCCCAGTCAGGCACTCCCATGAAACCTGAAGGAGAAGACGTCCACAAGGCATAAGGTCAGTCCCTGAAGGCTTAAGTCACAGTTGGCTGTATAGAGGGATGATAATTATTATCATGAGCTGAAAGAAAGACTTCACTGATTGCAGTTTTACAGATAAGTTTCTTAAAGCAAGGTGTAGGGATGGGTATCATTAGGATTTATATGAATCCAATTCTATTTGCCCATTTAAGGAACTGAAAAGCAGAACAGAAATTATTACTTTTTTGTGGTACCTGGTACTAACTAAATTTAATTTGGTTCCCACTTGAAATCGAATTTTGGTACCCAACCCTAGCAATATGTAACACTTGTTTTGAGGAACTTCTCCAAGAAATGTTTGGCTTGAAATTTAATGAAATCAGTTTTGTATCTGAGCCCTCCAGGTCTTTGTGGCTGTGTTTGAGAATAATGAGACAGAACTGGGACAAAACTACAGGGTATGATTGGAGATCTTTGCAGTTTGGACTCTCTCCTATAAGCTGGATTCTGTGTAGTTGATGGAAGCTTGTGTGTTTTTAAGGGGATTTTTTTGTTTGTTTTACTGAATGAATGTTGACTTGTATAATTCATCAAAGTACTAAAATTAATCAAAGTAAAATACTAGAAAATATTTAAGTAAAAGTAAAAGTATTAATTGTAAAAACTACTCACACAGGTACAAGAACACAAAAAATGTAGTTGTAAGTAGTTACTCTCTAACCAGAGGTTGAAACCAACAGAAACACAACATCTGCAAAAAGGAGTCCACGCTAACACAAAAGATACCACAGTCCATCTTTTAAAGTAACTCACAGGAGCTTTAAAAAAGGCATGGCCTCTAGTAACATATTTCCCAACAGACCTTACATCAACTTTAAAGTTAAAGACAGTTCGACCACATTGTACTGCCTTTAATGACAGTTCCATCACATTGTGCTGTCGTTAAAGACAGTTTGATGACATTTTGCTGCATTGGTGTGGTTCGTGTCAGCTCTCTGCTGTGGTAATGGCCTCTCTCTGGTTAAAACAACAGTGCTGTGGTTGAAAGCCTTCTAGACCACACAGACACAATCACACCATAGACTGCACTAATGAAACACTCCCACAGAGATCTGCAGCATGGCCCTCAGTCTGAGGACATAATTGTCTCTGGCCTTTAAAGAGCTGGACAACAATGGACAGCCTCTGTGAGGACACTGACCACTTTACTTCCAGGTCTCTTGGTTTGTGCATGTTTTCATTTTTCCAGTTTGCAGCTTTAATGAGGAGGCAGATCTGCTTCAGACCATGTTTACACTGAACTCCATTGGTTTAAGGCTCTAGAACTGAACCTGAAAGAAACCCCATACCATTACAGCTTTCCTACAATCTGTGCTTGTTTGGTCAACTTCACAACTAGACATCATCACCTTCGCTATAGTGGTGAGTAAATGTTGAAGTTATTTATCTTTTTATTACTGTTGTCAGTCATACAGACTCCTCCTACAAAAACCAGCTAAAGCACAGATCTGTTTGATAGTCCATGAGCACAGTAAACCACACAGATAGCCATATTATTGGTGAATATTTGAGTGAAGGCTCCCACCGCAAAACAACTCAGGTGCTAAACGATATTGCTAGATATATCCACCATTCAGAGAAAGTGCTCCCTATACTTGTTAAACTCTGAGCCCTGATAAGAGATAAAAACTCAACCCTTGCCTTCATTCTGCTGCTTCTAAAATTCAATTAAAGTTGACAGCATCGCCTAGACAACCGCACCTTTCAGACTTTTTTCAGTTTTGGATAGCTGTCTTTCAGTGCAAGAAGGACCGCAGAGGTGTGCAGATTTCAGTGCAGAAAATGTATGAATACAGGAAAACAAAAAAAGGTGACAAATTTCCCTGGCTTCATGTTTAACCCAAAAAAACTTTAATATAGACAACAGATGTTTAATTATTGTATGATAGAGCTAATGGAGTGAGCACATGTACAATATGTGAAGAGCTAATATGAACAGTAATCTGCACAGAAGCATTACTAAAGCCAAGATGAAATGTCCACTGACCAGCATGCATACATGAGGCTGTGTGTGAGCTCTGTTACATGGAAGGTTACACATAGTACAGTGCAAAGCATGGCCACAGAACAGCACATGGAAAGCCAACACAAACTGCATCCCTCCATGGTTCTCACCACAGCTGAGCTGAGGCAGTTCGAGTCCTCAAAGCAAACAGTTACATCATGCAGTCAATCTGCAGAGTTCCTGAACTGAGACTCAGTGTTTATTTTGGATCTCGGAGACTCTTTCTGTTGGTATGCATGCACATAAAGTATGACGGCTCAATCTATGGCTGCACCTCATTGGTTTTAATGAGTTACTGATATAGTCTAATAATAAAACTTCATGTTAAGTTCAACAGCAATCTATCAATCCAAACAGTCTGACTGACTCTTGTGTTTACAGAGCACTGAACTAAAAACTCTCTAATCCCAGCATTTTCCTCTTACTCTCTGTGATCAATGGATAAAAATGATTCACAACCAGTTCTTGATCATTCAAAAAAGGAAACTTAGATCTAACAACAAAAACAATTGTTAATGTTATACTTTTTCACAGCAACAAAATGAATGCTGAATATTAATATGTAGACCAGACTCATAAAAATAAAAAATTTTGCTCACTTGTTATTTTTGATGAAATAAGCGTGTCCACATAGTCATGCGAAACCTGGCCAGGATCAGTCCAGAGGCAGAAAACATGCTAAGGCAGTGATAATGTTGCTGGTAAGCAGACGTGTGGGCTTTGTTCATTTGAGAAATCTATCTGTGTTGACATATTATCGGTCTATGGACTTTGCTTCAAAGATGGGGTTAGCAAGAACTAATGCAGCCCCCCCAAACTGAGCATGTCTGCTGTGCACAACTTTAGCCAGCTGGTTCGCACTGAAACGACTTCAACCTGATAGCTGAATGTAGTACTAGACAATGTTACTTATCTCTATAACAGTCAAATACCTGTTAACATCCCGACCACTGGTGTTTCTCAGGGTTCTGTCCTGGAGCCCCTTCTTTTCATCCGCTGTCTCCACCCTGTTGGTTACATCCTCTGTTTGTTTGGTCAAAAAATTCTGCTGCTATGCTGATGACACTCAGCTCTACTTGTCCAGTGAAAATTACTCTTTCCTCTTGCCCACTAAAGGACTTTTTGGTTGTCATCCCCCGCAAGTGTTACCAGTCCAAATTGACATCAATATTTATTGCATATATTCACAGCTATAACTTTATGTAGGACTTTTTAACAGCAAATGTTTGGAGAACAATTCTTGCACATTTGATTGAAGTGGCTTTTCTTAGTTATGTAAACAAATGTACATGTTTGTTTGTTTTTAAGCAAACCAAGCATAATTATAAAATAAGAGCCTTTCTTGTCTGCTGTAAATAAAAAAAATAAATCTTTTTTTATATTTCATCCATCCTGCTGCTGTCAGCACAGAAACTATTGGCCCATACAGCCAGCTGACCGTGAACACGACCTCTGTGTCTCTTCATATTACCCCTCACTGACCTGTGAGTGTATTTGTGTGAGTGTGTGTGGGGGTGTGTGTAATTCACTAGAAAGTAGCGAGACATAGCCTCAGGCAGTACACATTGGCAGACAACGACATAACGCCTGCACACACACACAAACACACACACACACACACACACACACAGCTTATTGAATGAGCATATGGGAGCATTTTTTCTGGCTATCTATTCAAACAGCAAACATCCTATAAAACCTGCAGGAAGACCAACAACCAACCATTACTCTGCTTTCTTTGTGTTTGGTCATGATGAGCTTCTGTGAGGCTCCTGCAGTGCAGCTTCATGAACATTATCAGCTCTACTGCAGCAGGAACACGCTAAAAATAACTGTTCGTAAAGATACAGATCGCACACATGAAACAGGGACATGAGGTTAAACAGGGTGGAGGATCCTCGGAGGGCAGAAAGAGGAAGGGAGGAGCAGGAGGATGAAGAGGAAGATGATTGTGAAAGAGGAAGAAAAAGTGCTTTCTAAACAGCATCAATGCAATCTGCTGACATGGACAGACAGCACAGTTTAACTTAGAGACATGCTTGACCCCACCTTGAACGATAAAAGGATGTTTGTTACTGTCATCAGCTGTCATCTGTAAAAACTCCAAACATACTGCGGCATTATTTTTTTTGTTTGAATCTCACAGCCCTAAAACTTTTATTTGTACAGCCTCAGAGTGTTTAAATCTCCAGGCAGAGATGTGTATTTGTGTTTTAAAGCTGTCTCCTCTGCACTGACTGCATTTTCCTTTGTCTTTTATTGGCTCAATAACCAAAGCTATCAGCCTGTTTCTGAGAACCATTTCAGAAAAACTATTAATCCATCTACTTCTCCTGACAAATAGCTTCTTCCCAGTGAGCTCTAAACTCTGATTAAAGCCACATTGTTTTCTCTTTAGTCAAAGAGTTTTTCTCAGGCCAATGACTCAATACGTCTCATCCACATTCAGGACCTCCTCTGGGACTCAGAACTCGTCCACCAGACTGGGCAGGAGTGTTTTTGGCTAAGTTTGTAGTGACCCACATATATCAGAGAGAGCGGGGCAACATAAACATGAGCAGCTTTAAAAAGCTCATGAATAATAGATGAAAACGGAGTAAGAGAAAGAGGAGCAGGAAGCTGCTTTTAAAGTGGTTTTCATCAGAAACTGATCAACAAATTTCATTCTCTTCACTGACTGTTTTTGTTGGAGAATAAATATGATGCAAAAAAAAAAATGTCTGTAATAAATGTGAGCTCAGGGCTGGAGCTTTAGAGACATTGTGAACACAATCCTCCTGAGTCCAAAGAACAATTTAGCAACATCTACACGTAAACTGAGTGTCTGAAAGCAGCTGCAGCACCTTAATGTAAATTCATGTTAAACACAGGCCATAAATACAACTATTAGCTGTCACAGCCCCTTACACCATCATCCTGCTCTGTTTAAGAGCCTTATAGGTGCTGTGTCATAGGTGATGATGTTGCTAAGCAACCAACCTGAATGGTGCTCATGGTGATGGACAGTTTTATCAGTCTGTTACTCACACAAAATGGTTCTTTCTGTTTCCTCTTCTGCAGGAGCTTCTGAAAAGGTTTAAATCAGTGAATCTCAGGATGGAGCTCCTCTTGAATATTCACTGTTTACTGACTTTGAACCACAGCTACAGCCCACCCACTGTGACGGGTGTCAAGGGGACAGAAATAAAGTGTTAATTCCCCTAAATAAGAGACACTGCACTTCCTCACTGATATTATCACAGTGTAAATACTGAGTCATAAACTGTAGCAACATTGACCAGATTTAAAGCTAAGCACAAATACACATGCTTTGATTTGAAAACTCTGAAAGCTTTCATTTTCTTTATAATCTCAAAGAAATCATTTGGACTTAACTGGGGCGGTTTCCTTTTTATAACATGCTGTAGTTTTGTCATTTTGTCATTAGTGGACTGCTAAAGAAAAGCAGAGCTCACAGGGCAGAGACAGTTAAGATGATATGATCTACAGGAGCCTGTGGCCTCATCCTTAAAGACCCACTCCAATGAAAATCATATTTTTCTTGTCTGCATGTTCATGTGGTATTTTTCTGATGCTACAGGACATATCATGAGAAAAGTAAGTGTGAAATTACATTTCTGAGTATTTCTGCATTCAAATCACTGTGATTCTCTGGCAGGCCCAAACAGCAGGCTTAGACACAGTGATATTTCCTACGTAGCAAATCCAAGCTCCGCCCCCAGAGCCCCGCTATGCAGGCCACACTGAAAAATAGAGAGGACAATTGCAGAACAAGTGTATGCGTTAGCGGATTGCAATGCTCATAAGAAAGCTAATTATGATATTAACTTTCACAATGCCCCTAAAGACGTTGAGAGAGCGGAATAGCTCCTATGTTACCTGCTTCTTCTTCTACACCGGCAATGTTAGGCTGCAAGCTAGCATGAAGAGGAGTATGCAGAGCAGCGCTGACTCCGCACACAACTTAGAGACAAATTGCTAATGAGCTACTGGAGCTCTGCAGAAGAAAAGCCCCTGAAAATGACACAGGTAACATGATTTTGGCTAAAAACTTCATAATCACAATTTAACGACCACTGAGAACACTTTAAGTAGTGAAAAAAAAAAGGTTGAAGTGGGACTTTAAGGGGGTCTGGATGTAGATGGTTTTGAACGAGCTATCGCTGAATATCCTGGGTCACGCCTCCATTATGCAAACTTACTAATTTATAGTAACTGTGTGGAAGACTGAAACAGAGGTATTTGGGAGCTGATGTCTTAGCCTCATGCACTGCACATTGAGGGCTGCTTTAATTTCATGTTTTATCAACATGAAGAATTGAAACAGAGAGAAAACTGTAATTTGTGAAAAGCTCTGCATATGCATGGATCTGGCCTGGTTCTGTTTGTGGGCCATCTGCTCCAGCACCTGAACTAAACAGAGCTGAAATGATTTTTTGAGGTTTGGAAAGACTGCGCCACATGCATCACAAAAGCCTGTTGTAGTAACAGATGAAGTTTTAGTGTTCCCACTATGAGACAGAAGCCAGATCTTTGGATTACCATCAAAAAATAAACAGAATTGTTTGAGAGCCACACTAAACAAAATGTAGTAAGGACAGGACACAGTAGCATATCACTCTCAGTTTAAACTTAAACCTTCAATGTCAACGACTTCTCTTTACTTAGTCCATAAAAATGTTAGTCATCTTTGACTGCAGAGTTGTTTCTACAGAGAATCACCAATATAATCAATCAAAGTGAAAATCTTTGGTTTGCAGACTCTACTTGAGAACTTGAGTTAACAATTTTCCTTATAATGTTGAACTCTAAATCAAACAGTACATTTCTTTCTGTACAGGAAAAAAATTTTGATTTATGCCTCATGTGCTGGATTAGGATTGATTTGATGTCTAGGATTATTCTTGTCTTTTCCTCCTACATGTCCCACTGTAACAGCAAAAAGGCAATAATCTGTCTTTATGAAACAATGAGCTTAAAACACTGAGATGACCTCCACCACTCAAACCATTTACAGACAGTGTTCAAGGATTCTGCCTGGAGGCTGAAACTCCACTGGTTTATAAGACAGAGAGGACTCATGTCGGGTTTATTTTTTGGACAACGTGCTTACAGATGGTGGTGCTTCTCATGTCACAATATTTTCCTGATACAAAATCCAGGGGTTTCCATGGGCGTCAGCTGTCGGCAGAAAACACCTGGCTGTTGGCATGATTATGGCAGGCTACTTCTTCTGTTGTTGATTTCAAGACTGGCTTTATTGTGTGTTATAGAAGCTTATAGTGTTTATTGGGCTTTAGAAAAACTGTTTAAGATAGGACCATAAATCATGTTTTAAAAGGATATTCCGGCATAAATTTAAGTCATGGTCGAACACACCGTAACATCGAGTTAGACACCCCCTCAAGAGATGAATGTTATAACCGAGTGCAGCAGAGTTTTGCAGCTCAAGGAAGAACATTTACGATCATTACTTCATGGAAATGTAATCAGACCGAGATAAGGCAGAAGAACTACTGTGTCTGCAGTGCAAAATAATTGTTATGATGATTATTACTTCATGCAAATGATCTGCCGCACTGGTCAGGGCTCCCCTACAAACAAGCGGCTGCTGGAAGAGAGTAGGTGAGTTGTGTTTAATCTCTTTGCTAAAGAAATCAGGCAAAGCTAAAAGATGTTTGATGGCTAGTACTATGGCTGGGACCCTATATGTACTGTTGATGAAGTTAGGTGCTGTTCTGAGCATTATTTGTGGCTATAGGGTGGCTTTTTGGTTGAGGTTTGCGTGTAGAGACGTAGACTGCTGTGTATTGCTATTATGCGGTCATTGATGAAGTTGGTATAACTAGAGAAGCAAGCGGTCAGCAAAATTCCTCTCTCAAGGGGGTGTCTAACTCGGTGTTACAGTGTGTTTGACCATAACTTAAATTTATGCCAGAATATCCCTTTAATGCATGGACAGGGATCACTGGCATGATGATAATGATGAGGGAAAAGTTATCATCTTCCTCTTCCTTATGTTTCTGCAAACTGTCCTGACATTTGTAGTTTCAGCAGCATAAATAAATGACAGTAATAAGAGTAATGTTTAAGAAAATACTAAATAAAGACCAGGTCATTTTACATTAGAGGAAGTTAAAACACAGAAAAGATGGATCCATCTTCCCAACACCTGTGTTTAACTGGGCCATGACTTCTGGCTTCTAATTGGACCTTTACCCATCAGCTGATTGCAGATAGAGCCTCTGATTGGTCCACACACTCAATCAAGACATCAGCCCTTATCTAGCAGTGTACGTTAGCAACAGAAATGTCTCTGTTTGACTAAAATGACTCCATAAATCGTCTCAAATTACCTTTGTTTGGGGGATTGGATCTTGACAGCCTCTAAATACTTGGATCCTCTCTGCGGGAAAGAAAGCTCTTGATGTGAGAAACACGCAGAGTTTATTCTCGGTGACCTGCCTGCAGGTGAGTACATTTTAGAGTAAGTGATTCCACATGTTAAACATTAAGATGTTGTGTTTGACAATGCTGATCTTTGAATATTTTATAAATATAGAACAATACTAGTCTTTTCTGATGGCTTTTATTAGGGTCAGTACGGTACTGAAACAGACAGCTTCCATATTTACTGATTTAAACCTAAAATGCCCTGTGACCCTTCAGTTCTTCATTGAAATTCAGCAGATCAATGACCCTCCTAAATATTTCAGGTCAATCAGCCGAGACTGTTTCTTTACAGGGGGATCATCATGCTAGATTGTGAGACTCATGCAGAGTTTCCATATACAATTTTGTTCCTCTCTTATCAAAGACAAAGCCTCTGTGTCCTAGAGTGTCTAAACCAGCCCCATACCAAGGACCAGTCAGACTCTCTCACCTCTGAGTTACGATCATGGTAGACCACTACATTTTTTACCAGCCCACCCTTATTCTGACAGGCCACAGCTGATGCTGACAAGATGCCTGATATAATATGATTAATACCACAATAATCAGCCTGTATTATAGAAAACTGACCCCTTAATTTGAGCTACCTGTTCCCTTGCTGACTGCTCCATGTTTGAGTAAAGGCCTCCAAAATGAAGTCAGTACAGCAAGATGGACAAAGAGGAAAGAGGGAGCAGCAGACTGAGAGGCTGCAGAGCTGCATGGCTGTCTGACAGGCAGACATATTGACAGAGAGGGTCTGATGGATGCTTCCGTCCACAGCAGCTCCCAGCTGCAGACGAGAGACACAGCATTTAATATGTGGGGAGGGTTAGGCCTGGAGAGGAAGCGACCGAGCTGCAGAAACACCCACAGACAGAATAACAGACACAGAGCAGTCGTACAGACAGAATAACAGACGGGCAGGCAGGCATACAGGCTGGCTGTCTGACTGCTGCTCAGCCTCTCACGCCTTCATGTTTTGCTGCCTGATGAGTCTGACAGAAAATCAATGACGCTGCACTCTGACGGAGACTCACTGTAACATGGAAAGGACGATGCAGAGGGACTAAGTGTGCAGAGACATGTCTCCATATCATCTTGCACAGAGTAGAGACAAAATGAGACGATGACGAACGTGATGATGATGGTGATGGTGGAGCTTCTAAAGCGGTTATCCACCCAGACTCTCATCTGCCCCAGCATGTACCGGTATGTGGCAGAGCTGTGGCGCAAAGACGCGTCCTGTTTTGGGGCACGGTTTGATCTGATTCCGAGGCCTGTCTATGAAACCCATTGAGGTGAATTCAGATCCAGCTAATTAGGGGACCGAGGAGCTCCGGCGTATAGGCCGCCCTCACCAAAGTGCGTATGACCGCAGATTCTGCTGAACAGAGCGCAAACAGCGAAACTGGCTGTTTTTGTTCTCTCACTGATGCAGGGAAATATAGGTGAGCTTCATTTCCAGCAGGTCTGTTAACGGATGCATGGACGTTTGCATGCCCAACCAATACTCAAAGGATAAAGGATGAAGAGGACGAGGAGGAGGAGAGGGTTCGACCTCGCAACCTACCGGGCCGCATCGCCAGTGTCATTCAAACCGAGTCATCAGTGCATGTTCATGTAAAACCAAAGCTAAACCACGATCAGCTTATGGAATGAGACGTTCAGACATTTAAACCCATATTTCAGACTGAGCCTGCAGCTCCATCACTGGGGCTGATTTTCACAGAGGAAGCACATGTGTAGAATCACGATCAGTTGACCACGATCAGTTCAGTCAAATGGAAAGAATCGAGCTTTTATTTACCTTCATGTCGTTGACAATCGCCTGGAACAGACCCCCGAGGGCCCCGCATTCCTTCTCCACGGTCTCCATGTTTGCCAAATCCACCATTCACCGGAATTTACACAGCGCGCACAGACTGCGCGCCACCAACACCCAGCAGGAAAATGCAAAAATAATATCCACAAAATCACCGCCCAGCTCTCTCCTCTGAATCGGGAGAGAACGGGAGCACGGGGGATGCAGCGGGGAGAGGAGGAGAAGGAGGGCTGGAGAATGAAACGGCTGCGCTGCGGTCTCTGCCTGCAAGCAGGAGATGCGTTCAAAGGGAGGAAAGATGGTCTCTCTCTCTCTCTCTCTCTCTCTCTCTCTCTCTCTCTCTCTCTCTCTCTCGCTCTCTCTCTCACACACACACACTCCCTCTTTCTTCCTCACTCTCTCACTCTCTCTCTTTCTCTCTCTCTCAGCGGGTCGGTCAGGCAGTGACTCATTCAGCTGGTTCCGGGGACGCCGCTCATCTTGGCGCAGCCAGCGCTCCGCGGACTCGCTGAGGACGCATGTAAAGGCAGCGGAGAACCGGAGCGGTGTACCAGTGCGTGTGTATGTGCGTGAGTGAGTGAGTGCGCGCGCGCGCGCGTTTGTTTGTCGGTGCGTTCGTGCACGCATGTGCGCGGAGACAAGGGCGGGCTGTGATTGGTGCAGAGGCGGTGGGCACAGAGCAGCCAGTAATACGATCCATGCAACTGCGAGAGAGTCAAAAAAAGAGGCAGGACAACCCTGTCACATGGCTGCACACGCGCACATGCACATACTATACATACACACGCATGCTATATTTACACATACACATTCTGCACGGACACATGTACACATTACTGTTGACCAGTAGAGGAAGAATGAGCAGGGAGCAAGACGAAACGCCAAACACATTCGACTACCCGCGTGTGTGTGTGTGTGTGTGTGTGTGTGTGTGTGTGTGTGTGTCCTGGTGACCCTGAATGAGTCTTTTTTGTGTTAAATATCCCTGTCATGACCCTGACAGTTAACTAAGGACAGTAACTTAACAGTTGTTTTGTTAAAAGTTACTGTAATCTACAGGCTAAATTCAAATTTCCTATGTTTAATTTAGACCTTTATCTTTTTCACTCTGTTGTGTTTTATGTGACTATCAGATCATCAGTAGCCTAATCTATGAAGCATTCTGAACTGCAAATAACAATGTTCCACCTGCACCAATATTCATGTATATCTTTAAATGATGACGGGGAAAACAATCTCTCTGTAAAGATCTGTAAAGATTTTCTCTGTAAAGATCATTAATGTTGTTAAAAACACAGAAGTTAATGGGTCAAAGTTTAACTGCTCTGATTTATGTCATATGAATGTTTATGAATTTACAAACTCCAATTCCACTGAAGTTGGGATGTTGTATGAAACGTGAGTAAAGACAGAATGGTTTGAAGATGATTTTCCAATCTTTTTCTTATTATTTTAGTTTAATTCACCACAAAGACAATATATTTACTGCTCAAACAAACAAACTTTTTTTCTGTTTGTCTGTTTCTTTTTCTTTTTTTAATTATTTTTGTTTTTTCAGATATTCACTTACTTTAAGTTTGATGCTGCAGCATGTTCTGAAAAAGCAGGTTCAGGGTCATGTTTCTCTCTGTGTTTCATCAACTTTCCTTTAACAAAACTCAAAACTTTTCACTGCATCCAGACCAGCAGTGATTCCTACCAGATCTGTTTGTGAGGCAAATTCTGTGGCAGATTATTGACAGCAGGAATCGCAAGAACCTGCGGATTCACATGCAATCGCACGATAACAAGTTGTCTCTATAGCTACATAACCATATAAGGAGTAGATTGTGTCCTTCCAGAGGAGGAAATCCACTCCTAGACTTCTAGATTTAGCATCTCCTCATCTATGGTGTCCATGGTGTCTAAAAACCTTTCACTTGTTCGTCTCCACCCATTTGCATGGTGTGAAAAACGATCCACCTGAAACACAGTGTTTTATTTTGAAAAGAAGCCGGATGTTTTATTTTGTGTCTGTGCCCGACTTCCTGTCCATCTGTGGCAATGGAATCTGTGCTGAATTTATGTGGCATGCTCCGGCGTCCGGGAAAAATAGAACTCTTGTAATCAGCTACAGAGTGTTTCACAGCGGAACAGAAAGAAGCCGGTGGAACTTGACACATTAACTTGAATGGCTACGATGAGCTGCGATCCGCAGATATGGCCTTTTCATAGCCGTTCGGGATGCGGTGGTGGGGGCAACTGTTGAAGCTTTGGAGATGAATTCTCTCACAGTCTTGATTGATGGACCACCTCAGCTGATCTACGGTCCAGGTTACATTGCTGATTACATGCAGAAATGTCTCTGGATCTCTGAATCTTCTGATGATTTTATGGGCTGTAGATGATCAAATCTCTAGATTCCTACAGTTGTAAGACACAATGTTCTTAAACTGTTGGACTATTTGCTCACACAGTTGCTGACAAGGTGGTGAACCTGGTCCCATCCTTGCTTATGAAAGAATGGGTTTATCAGTGATTCTTCTTTTATGCCCAATCATGACCCTCACCTGTGTCCAGTGAACCGGTTCACCTCTGGAAGGATCCAAACAGGAGTTTTTGGAGCAGTCGTTAGTTTCCCCAGCCCTTTGTTGGCCCTGTCCCAGTTTTTTTTAAGTGTGTTGAGTTGTATCCTGTTTTTAGTCAAGTTTTTTTACAACATCTCAACTTCACTGGAATTGGAGTTTGTATTATAAACTAAAGATTATTGTTTAAGCCCGGAATATACAGCTCTAGATCAGCTGTTACCACACTGAAGAGCAGTCTAACTTTAAATGTAGTTTAAACAAAAAATAAAGGGTTATTTTCCTCCTCCCCTTTCCTAATAGATGGTCTTGTGTATCTTAAAGAAGGTAAAGAAGCTCCATGGAGAAGTCAAACAACTCCTCACTCAAACACTTGAGTGTAATTTCTCTCAGTCAGGACCCTCTCTGACCAAAAAAGACTTTTTAAACTGATCTGATGAGTTGCTCTGAATCTCTGCACAAACTTGACATATGTAACCAGTATTCAGACATGCTCTCTCTGACCTGGAGTTTGAAACTTAAATTTACTCAGTTTAATGATGTAAGATGATTCAGTAGGAAGACAGAGTTATGGCACAGGGGTCAAGGTTCACAGTTGCCTGGATATTCCTGCTCATGGTTCTTGGAAATGTGAGGGTCAGAACGAGCAGCAGCTGTATCTTTCCTCCTGGATCAGTTTCAGATGGTTGGATGTTGTTGTCACATGATAACCTCATGGTGACTGCAGAGTGAGGTGACTTTCTTTCAGCGTATTCTCACAGGAAATGCCTCTGTGTCGACCTGAGACAACCCACACTATTCCTAACTCCAGCTGAAGACATTTTAAACATTGAGCTTAAGTCTTCGGGGGGAGACTCAACCCAACATGTCTGTCTGTTTATCTGTCTGTCTGTCTGTTTGCCTGCCTGCCTGTCTGTCTGTCACTCTGACTCTCATTTTGTTCTGTCAGGTTTGTATAGTCATAATAATCCTGTTGATTCCTGCATAAGTAAACAGCTCTTCCATTCCACTGCCTGAGTCCAGATCTTAGACTGGAATCCAAGTCAAGTCTTGATTGTCAGGTTTCAAAACTTGACCAGGACTTGGACTCTCTTGTCTGCAGAGGATTCTGACTTATGTATTGATTGGAGATTGTCCTGTGTGTTCACCTACATGTACTTTCACGTTGTCTTATTCAGCTACTGTGGATCATCAGCATGTTACTTTTGAAGATCCAACAGAAATGCAAACAAGATCAACAGTTTAGTGTGTGAAAGAAAAAAGTCAGACATTAGCAGATATCTGTCCACGGTGCATCCAGTGCAGGAAAAAAAAAAATGCTGATGTTCCTGAACTGCTCTTAACGTCAGTCAGGACATTTACAGTCTGACTGAAACTGGATCTTTCAAATAAAGTAAACACAGTAGGCTGGCTAAAACTGCACTGAAATCCAACCTTCACGGTCAGATGAACATACTTGTATAATGCAGGAGGAGATCAATTTTTTTGGACATGTTCCGGTGTTTGCATTGCCAGACTCTAAGCCATGCACAAACACACACAAATACACCCTTATGACTGTGCCAAATCTCAGTGTCCTAGGAGAGACCTCATGTGGATCCTGAGGGGACACGCCCATGTGATCAGTTTTGGTGTGTGTTTACCTCTGTGTGTGTTTGAAGCCAAATGCACTCTGAATAACAGTGTGTATGAGTGCTCTGAGGTGACCATGACAGGAGGAAGATTGAGGTCTGAGTGCTTCCTCACTGCAGATCTGCTGTTTCTTTTCAACTCTCTCAAACACAGAGTTTGGACCCAAGTTAAATCTGGAAGCAATTAAACCTCTGTCTACATTTCATTGAGTTTTTACAGGATTACTGTGTCTTAATAAACAATAATAATGATGCTTGATTTTGAATCTAGATCTAAAACTTAAGCGACTGTGAATCCTGGCTCTGAATCATAAACTGCAGCTGATTCTGAATTTAAATCAAGATCTAAATGTGGGCATGAATTTGATTCAAAATCTAAATCTTAATCTAAAGCCAGCATAATCAGAATTGAAATCTGGATTTGAATCTTGAATTGAATTTAGATTTGGAATTGAACCTGGAAGTTCGATTTGAATCGATATCAGAGGATAGATATCAGTCTGGATCTGAATGTGGAGCCAAATTTATACCTGAATCTAGACCTGGCTCTAAATCTGGATTTCAAAGTGAATCTGAGTTTAAATCCTAAATTTAAATCCTAATTAAAACTCAATAAGAATCTGAAGGTTGATATAAATGTGAAATGGATTCTGAATCTTAAACTGAATCTGGATCTGAATCTGGAGCTGAATCAGGTCCCAGTGCAGCATGTGTCTCTGCAGAGACTGAAGACACTGAAGGGGACTTTGTTTTTCCTTCATTCTCTGTCTCCACAGTGAAGTCACTGCATGATTAACTTAAAGTTGTTATTGAACTGATGCTCTGAACGTCCTCAATGGTTATATCTCTCTGTGATCAGTTGTCAGAGTTTTGTTCCACACAGTGAAAAATGTCTTTTCTGGGCTGTTTCTGTTCTTCAGAGCAGCTCTGCAGATCCCTCGGTGTGAGTTTTTATTTTTTTTCCGATGAAGGCTGAACGCTCCCTCTAGAAACATTTCTTCTGATTGAGCCTTTTTTCAGTCCTTGGGCTGATTTGATGTTCAGAGTCGGTGTTTGGGGCTGATTTTTGCCTCCTGCTGCTGCTTCCTCCTGGGAGAGGCTGAGGGCTTCATGCAAACAACAGAAACCTGGTGTCTGAGACCTTGAACCAGTTAAATTAAAGTATAGTAGAGTATAGTTTTATACTTTAACACAGAAGAAAACCAACTTGAAGAGGTCCAACCTTTGTCTAGAAGTAAATATTTTTTATCATTGATTGGAGCTGATAAGTACTGAAGCACTTTGTGAGCAGAGAAAGTTGAAAAGGAGGCATTTTTCATACAGTTCAGATGCGTTTGAATCACAGAGAGGATGAGTCAGGGGGGTTTAAGATGACATTTCAGAGGGTCCTAAAACAGTCGTGAGATGATTCAGGAGCTGCAGTGAATCAGAG